GACATATATATCGCCTGATCACTGTCTGAAAATTTAATCTGAAATTCGTCCAAAAACGTGCTAGGTTAAGCATCGAATCTTCAATGTACACTCTGAGAACTGAGGTGAATTTGTTAAATTATAAATATAGCTATGCACTTTTTATGATTATGTGGGTCAACCAGACTCAGTTTTGACCGGAAAAATTAAGGACATATTAATTCTAAGCTCGTTTACTGCTTGTGCTGCGGGTAAATAGAAAGTGCGTCATTATTTGCACAATGACCCATTCAGTTTCCTCCGCCTATCAGTTTAGTGTGGGAGAGTCGAGTACAGATTTTGGGCGAAGTACGGCTTATTTTTCCGAGTGTAACGTCCCCACCTGTCTGTCAATTTGGTGCAAGCGATTCCAGCACAGACAGCAAGTGCGTTATTTTGTACGTGTGGTAAACAGTCATGAATGTCTTGCATATATATATAAACACCTTTGTGTACACGCACAAACATTGTGTACATGAACAAACATGGCGCATTCACGATCCCCTTCATCCACTTAAGATATACTCAGAGAAACGAATACAACGTTGTCCAAATATCTATTCTCTTATTACCTTATGTGTCATCATGACCCAGTTTGGCCCCGCAAAAGAGCGTATCAGTGCTATGTCCGTTTTCTGCTCGTGCTGTGAGTAAAAAAGTGTGTCACTATTTGGACAATATGACATTATTTTTTCTGAGTATACGCTCACCCCTACGACATCATTTTAGGCGCACCCTTTTCCTGCTAGCGTATCACGCAGTCAATGTTAGTTATGAGGATATTGCTAAAATTATTTTCATAAGCTCTCTATTATTGGTATATAGCAAAAGTTTCAGAAGTACATTTTGACGGATCCAAGTCAAGTCAACCATTAAAAGTATTTAAAATCTGACCATAATTATACTGTAATGTACTGTACTTAAAATCTGTACGTATTTTAGAATTTAGGAAAGTATTTCCAGATACAATCCTTGCTTTCTAGCTGACAATGAAATATTCTAGGAGGGAAAATAACGATAATTATATAATATTCTAAGCGGGATAATAACGATAATACCATATAATATTCTAAGAGGGATAATAACGATGGTTGAGCAACATCGGCTTCCGCAACAATATTTTTGGCTAGACTCATGGTATGAACGCACCCTGGCCGCCATAGGTGTACCCAGCCCCGCTACATAAGCACAGACAGGCCCATGTTTACAGTTTCTTTTGTTTGTTTACAGCAGAACGCTACTCTCGTATCGTGCCTGTTGTTTACGTGCCCACGGATTTTTTTACGTGTCCACGAATTCCTCCAAGACGCCGTGCATAAACCTAACAAAACTTCGTGGGTGGCTTCCATGAAATTAGGATTCCACGGAACATAAATTTGACTTTAATTAATTTATCTTTAATGATGCGCAGCGTTATGCCACGTAATGTTTATGTTAAATTAATAAAAAGTTAAATTAGCAATAACCCAATTATTTCACAACTCTGTCCTGTTGTTTCCATTAACAAATGTACAGTTAAATTACTATTTCTATTTAATTTATTCATTGTTTATATGTAAGATCGTTAACGTTCAAAGTCCTTGCGATAGCCTAAATCAACTAAAAACAATTCGATTAAAAACCAAATCCCCCATAAAGAAATTGAACGCCGACAACTACTTTTTTGTCACTAAGGTAAAAGAAAATGCGGGAATTTAAATCCCCTAAAAAGAAATCGAAGCCCAACATCTATACAATATATGTTACTAAAATAAAAGCAACTGCGGGGAATTTAAATCCCCTATAACGAAATTGAAAGCCAACATCTACAAATTTTTGTCCCTAAGGTAGAAGTAAATGCGGGAAATTTTAATCATCCCATAAATAAATTGAAGACCAACATCTACAAATTTTTGTCGCTAAGGTAAAAGAAAATGCGGGGAATTTAAATCCCCAATAACGAAATTGAAGGCCAACATCTTTCTATAATCTTTCTGAAGTGCACAGCGAGGCGATAGAAAAATCGGCTCCTTTTTCCTTTTGAAAGCACGCAAGATTGGACCTTTTGTGAGGCAGATTGGATGGATGCAGTCAAAATGTTGACACGCTCGAAAGAAAACCCGTTTCGAGTTCACAGCAAAGAGCAAGAAATAGATAACATTTCAGGAATATAAGAATAATTGGAATTATTTAATCACTTATGATATCAATTACAAATGATGGAAAATGCGCCTCCGCATACCTGTGATTAAGATAATAATTATGCATGAACTCTTTGATCGCAAGTTTTTACCGATTTAAACCTTCATGAAAAGATATGGAAAAAAGGGAATGAAATTTTCAGTCGAATTATTGAGGAATTTTGAACTGAAATGTTTCACTTTTCTCGAACATTCTGCCTACAAAGGTTGAATCGCTATAAGCAGTAAGATTTTGTACATCTTGGTTAAGGTTATCATAATTATGACGTGGTGCTGTCGATCATAAGTCTTCGCTGTCAGTTACAATTACATTTTTGAGTGTCTGCAAAATGTCTAGCTTCTGAACAAAGCTGCATTTGTCGTATTAATGCGTGAACTTTTTTCGCAGTCATCTGGCATTACGATGGCGGCTACACACCAGAAAAGCGAATGGGTCGTAATGTCCAAATAGTGACACACTTTCTGCGTGTAACCGGAAAAAAATTGGGTCAGGATGACCCACACATTTGTGAAGATGCATTGATATTTCGACAAAGTCTCTTAATTTTTCAGAGCTTGCTTACAAGACACAAACAGCGAAGTTCTTGCCTAACAAAATTTAGAATTGCCCCAGCTTCTGGTAATCCAAATCAGAAGCTGCCGCGTCTGTAAATTTTCACTGGGTAGCGGTTACGTCCCAGCGAAAGATCACAGCCCATGCAATATCTCAGGTATTTGTATAGAGCTTCTTATCTCTCGCTGCTGTAATGGAACTAAAGTGACGGTCTATAAAGCACTCACCAGACGCATATCATGGAGAGCATGCATTCACTTTTCAAGTGATGTAAACCAATCAATTTAATTTTATCCGTGTCACGTAGGGCATACGCTAACTTTACAATATAAATGTAAATCAATCAATTTAATTTTTTTTCGTGTCACCTTGCAGTGTAAATGCAAACTAATAAATTTAATTTTCTTCATATGAGATTCCTATTTTCGCGATTTCGGATGATGTTCACGAACAACTTTTGTTTTATTTATTGTTTATGAACATAAATGTTTACACACTGAGCAAATTAATCACATATGCATTATTAATTGCACGTTTGAGCTACATACATGGAATGTATTCAACATTATTTTTCCTACTTATTTTCTACACTCAACATGGTTTTTGTACTATTTATTTTTTACACTCAAAATTAGATATTTACTATTCATTATTTGTACCTCTAGTATCATTATTTCAGACCACTTAAATATTCACAAGTCCCCTAAATAATTTTATGTTCATTAACTACGGTTCTTATTATTTTCAATGCCGACAAATCCAGTAACATATCGCCTGGTAATACTATAAACATATACAGTTCTTCCTGTGTTTGTTGTTGTACTGTGCTAAAGATGATAGCTCGTAGTGAAATAAAACGTCCGTTTATATCCTTTATTTCACCCGGGGGCTTAGCCCCCTGTGTCTTTAAACCCTAGTTGTGAGATTTCATAAACTTTCATTTTTGGGGGTTGTGAGATCTGATTTGGATTGCCTTCATCAATGCTTGTCTTCGTTGCTAGTAAATTGAGTTCACACAAATCTTCTTTCTTGATTGAAGCGATCCAGTCACTCCTCTCGAGGTCACTTTGGGGTCATAAAATGTTGAGTCCGGGAATTGCTATGCGAGATTCACCCGATCTCAGTTCGTAATCCTAGTGTTCGCAACAAATACAGTTTTGTATCCTTGACAAATGACTAGTTATTTCATCGAGTTTTTATGAAGTTAGTTCAAGCAGAAATTTTTTATTTGTTTGCGAATACCGGAATAGCGAACTGAGATCGGGTAGATCCAGTGTAGCAATACCCAATTTCGGGAGCGCAGCCGTGGGTAACAAAATTGACTCGTAAACAGGCCCTGGGCCCAACGCCAACCATCAACATGCAATATCTACACATAGCCTCAGATCAATGAGCTGTGGGTAACTCCGGCTAACAGTAAATCCGCTTTTCACAACACTGCCAGTGCTTCACTGCGCCGGAGCACAACTGGCCGGAGCGCAACAGGCCCTACCGCAACAGAGGCGCAGCCTCGCAGGTTAGGTTAGGTTACGTTAGGAGTAGCCTGTTGCACTCCGGCCAGTTGTGCTCCGGCCTGTATGCGCTCTGGCCTGTGACTGAACGGCGCTGTTGTGGTGGGCGCTTTGTGTCAAAAGCCGTGAAGATTCCCGGCTGCGTTACGCTCGGGAAGGTATATGAATCGCACTGTGGACTTGGGCTATGCTGACCTCTTGCTATCCACCCCCCAAATTCCACACTAGACTTGACGCCTCCGGATGCCCCCACACACACGATGCATGTGGAATGTACAGAAAAACCAATTGCCCTCACCGAATCGACACTTCAGCGAACTCGCCTGCGAGCTCAAAACGCTGGCACTCATAAATCCTTCAATAATGAACGGATTTTATTCAAATTTGAAATATAAGTAGATAATATCAGTAATTTGCGGACAGAATTTTTTCTGATTTTCGCTGAAGTGTCGGACCGGTATTGCCCTCATATTTATTGTAGTTATTTAGTTGAATGAAGCTGGATGTGATTTTAGATGTAGTGTTTTATTTCAGTGCTACGTGAGACATTTTTAAATGGTAAAGTTCATTTGCTGACGGCTTTTTATCTTAGTATGAATATATATCCTTATATCTGATTCTTTTAATGTGAAACCATGAATATTGCTTGAATTAAAATGTGAAGGGGGTAATTACCATATAAACAGTGTTATATGATGAAAGTTTTACATTTCTGTGAATTTCGAGTCAAAAATAAGTGATAAGCTGCAGCCCAATTGTATATGAATGCCTATCTCCTTCAAATTTGCGTAAGTAATGTTTCAAGTTGCAATTGTTTCTACTTAATCCCACATATGTGTGTAACCTATGGCTATGGGGTGTGACTTACTTCGTAAAAGAACTATCTAAAGCATTCGGATGATATAAATTTTGAATGTCGCCAATTAGTATAGCTATTAGTAAGTGATTATCTTGATCTCGTGTGAAGAATGGTAAGGTTCAATATTTATGATTTGCTTCAAAATGTTGGTAGCACTGTCTAGATTACAGCGACACCTGGTGGGAGCATCCAGAAGTGTGGAGCAAAACAATGGCCGTGTAGGCAAGAAAATTTTCTAAATCAAACTCAACAAAGAGAAGATGTTATTCAGTGTTTATAGGACCGACCTGTGTCGCAAAACTTAAGGTATTTACTCAATGCTATAATATTGTGAGGTTGACGGGTTGTACTCGTTATGAATTACTGCGAGATCAAACGAAGGTATTGACTGTTGTTGTTGTGGTGTTGCACATGCTCCTGCCGCATGTGTGATTGGAAAAAGTGAAGTAGGATTCGAGGAGCAATCCGAGCGACTATGTAAAAAACATGGACTCATGGTCATGGAGTATATGTACAATAATACATCTGTCAAAGTTAGTGCCTATATTGAAAATATTTCGCAATATTTTCATATTTCTCTAAATTTATGGACATTGTATCTGTATGATTGTTGTGACTTGTGAAGTTGTGATGTTAGCCTATCATCGTCCTTACCTTAGAACTCTCAAAAATTTATTGACAACATAAATTTTGACAGGTGTTGAAATGATTGACACTCCTCAATCATCACATTTATAATTGGATTGAAAGACTGAAACCTAATCTTGAATATTAGCCAGATTTTCTAGAAATTTTTGAGCAGTATAATGAGTACCTAAATTACTATCCGAAATATTGTCTAGGCCTACCCTAGACTAGTCCAGGAAGGATATCATCTTAGATAACAATCATAACATCATTATCATACACGAGATTTTGGTTTAAATCTTTAGACTTAGTGAAAAGTCAGGCAGAAACCACTTGCAAATGAGATGAAAATGCTGTGCTCAGGATGGAATTCTAAAATTTACAGTTCATATATTATTTTTGCTACACCTAGATCAGTTTTTCGATACAACATTATTTGAGGCAAAAAAATTAACTTCTTATAGGCTTAAACACGTATAGGTAAAGGTATTAAAAGTTTCTATAAAGTAATCACTTAACTTGGAAATGTTGCGTGTCTGCAGGGCAGCTTGCACTATGATGTATGAATGACAGTTTTACTTTCATTCCTATGATGCTCATTTTTACCAGTTGAAGCTGTAGAATTAAATTAAATTAAAAAATTAATTAAAATTAAATTGTACTAAATCAAATTTTATTATTTAATACACTAGATGGTACAAGCTGTAGAATTAAATTCTATTAGAAAAATGTTGAAATAAAAATCTGATTATATTTTTTATATTAAAAATTAATTTTTATTGAATTAAATTGTATTATTAATGCACTATATGGTACGTGCTCTATGTTTTATATAATGAAATAGTTTCCCATGTTAAACAAAGAAAATTTTCTAAAAGATACAACACATTCAAAAACGCGGGATGGCAGACAAAATCATTCAGAATTTGAACTGAATTCATTAAGATAAATTCAACATAATAGGGCAAAAAATGGAAAAAATTCAAATCTGGAACGTATAAATAGGTTTTTATAATTAAAAAAAAAACTTTCAATCATTTAACTCTCAGAATGGAATGTGGATCAAGTCTAATTATTGTGAAATCAAACTTGACATGACCAAAAGCTATCCCTGTGACGCCGCCATGTCAGATATGATCGTGGAAACACCATGTGAATGTACGCCTTGGAAAAGTGGACGTTTATCTCATACTTTTGTGTGATATCGAAAACTTTGTTAGTATTGCCCAATTGTGAGAATTTGTTACGATTCTGGATGTGTTTTATTTTTATTTTAGAACGTATTCATTGCAAAAATGTGTCCGCTAGCCTACAGATAAATGACTAGTTAACTTGATTAGTCGTTGGCAACACGGGATTGGATTTCAAACCACGCGCGATTTTGGAAGCACGGTAGGTCCCAATGAGCTCAGTTTATGAATTTTCATTGCAGTGGAAGGTGGTGTAACGCGGTGGTAGGGTTGGTATTTCGATACGTTTTCTTATATTGACATGAGAATATATTACCTATACAGAATTCCACACTGGCTGTGCTTGCAGTTAATTTCACTGTTATTACTTTTGATTAAGTGCATCCAAAAAAGGGTGTTTTTTTTAATTATATGTTTTTTGGGATGTAGATTAAGAATCTGAAATCCGTTTTTGGCGGTCGGCATAAAAATTTTTTAATGGAACCTGTTCCTAACTGGACCTAACCTGCAAGGTTTCTGTTGATTGGCTAGGTTTTTTCTATGTTTGGAGTCTGTCCGGCAGCCGGAAAAACCTAGCCAATAGGTTTTTTCTATGTTTGGAGTCTGTACGGCAGCCGGAAAAACCTAGCCAATCAACGAAAACCTCGCAGGTTAGGTCCAGTTAGGAACAGGTTCTGTTAAAAATTTCTGATGCAGACCGCCAAAAATAGATTTCAGATTCTTAATCTACACCCCAAAAAACATATAACTAAAAAAAACACCCTTTTTTTTTTGGATGCACTTAATCTAAAGTATTACGAATTTCACCTAATTTCATGGCTCGTGTCTAATTTATTTTGTCAAAATGTTGAAAAAATTGTATAGGGTAAACACAACATATTCCAACACCTTAAGGATGTAGCAAGAAATAAATGGCTATAAATAGATCACCTTATGCACAACTCGAGTTCTGATTGGTTTACGTCACTCTCAAAACACCACACTATGTGCCAGCAATGATGAAATGTCACAAACTGTTGCCATATTTATTTAAAAGCCTTTAGAATTCAAATCTAAAAAATTGCTGAAATCTGACACTGTGTGTGACTAAATGCGGCATATTGTGAGACTAATTCTGACAGTGCTTCAAATTCGTAATTCCGACACCCTGTGTTGGAATTCCCACACCCTGTGTGAGTGTGCAGAATACGACAGTAAATGACACCCTGTGTGTCATAATTCTGACATCCTGAGTCGGAATTAGTTTTTGTGTCTAAAACCGTCTCTTAAATCAATCATCTATTAATTTATATACCACTTAAAATCAGCAAATACAAGTATACTTAAAAGGATTCCTAATATATTCACAGACTTATTTAAAAGTCTCGAACCATAATATTCTTTCTACACAAACAGTTTATCACTATTTAGTAAAGCAAGGTCAACTATCAACTTTCATACATGTTTCGATGTTCTCACTAGTTGACTTGGGACTTTTGCTCTGCGGATCTTAACATTTTCCCGCTAGACCTAGTGTTTTGCGGAAATCTGGCGCCGGCCGGGCAGTGGCCATTTAGTCTGGCGCGCAATAGTATGACGTCACTATTTCAACCATCTACGCATGCATGGAACTAAGACCAAGCTTAATGTAAAGGAAAAAGTTGAGGGGTGTTGGAATTACCCACAGTGTTGGAATACGGTGCATTTACCCTATTATTGTCACAATTTTTGGAAATTACCTATAAATTACTGTTATTAAGTGAAATTTTCAAAACATCTTCTGGTACTTTATTTGATCAGAATGGATCCTAAGCATCAAGCAATGCTCCAGTATAAAAATTTAATGTTTTAACACGTTGACTCTGAAGTGGTACATATGCAAACCACGAAATGTATTTCTCCAGGACGTAGTGGTACATAATTCAGGTTGCCTAAAATCAGCCAAATCCCAGGACAAAAAAAGGCCAATGACTCAATATATACTAGTTTATTTGTAGGTTCCGCTATAAAAATTCCATTCATTTTCTTTTTGCAGTTTTTAAAATTTAATTAGGAAGTACCCATATCATAAATTTTAGCCAGCCAACGCAATTGAGAAAAAGTAAATCACGGAATTTGTCCGGAAAAAATGACCGTCTGGCAACCCTGTTTAAGGGGATCGGCTACCCCTACGGAAAACTTCTACAGTTATTATCCGATTGTCATGAAACTTCACATACATACGTAAAATGTAAAAAGAAAAACATTTTGCTCATATGAATTTTTCGAAAAAATTGATAGAAAACGTGAAATTCATAGAAAACGGCTAAAAAGGGGTACTTTAGAAAATCTATCTCCTCCCACAAATATCATCCTACAACATCGAGACACATATCAATCGATTCGTAAAGACCATATCTATTGACTCTCACATCACTTTTTTCATTTTCCATCTAGTTTTTTTATTGCGTTTTTTCCATTTTTCTCATTTTTATCTCATTTTTCACCCCTCCCCCCCTTCTCCCCCATATAAAAAACGAATCAGACCGAAATTCAAAAAAGTGATGTTAGAGTCGCTAGGCCTGGTCTTTACGAATCGAATGGTATATGTCTCATTGCTGTAGCTTGAAAATTGTAGGAGGAGATAGATTTGCCGTGAGAGCAGTATGAGGTTTTCAGTACGCCAAAAGACTGCCCGCGCGGCACTTAAATAGACATAAAAGAGTCGCAACGCAGCCAAGATACCGTAACTTAGCCTTAAACCAAGTCAGGAAGGCATGGAGCAACTGGCTGCACACCTTTCACGTCGCTGTCATGATGGGCACTGAGAGGTTTGGCTTCAGCTCGCAGTTTTAGTAGTCACGCCCAACAAATTCTTGTTTCTTGTTAATTTGGTTACCCTTTTGAAATGTGCAGCCCATTGGACCATGCAGGCATTGGGCCATTGTATATAGAGATTAATACCCACTATGCGGTACAATGCTTAGTCAGGTCCAGAATAATTTGGAAAATTCATATTTTTCAACCTGACAGTAAAAGTTTATGATATATATATGTATATATCCTTATATCTGCCCTTACAAATATTAAATGGGCTTTTAGTTCTAAACATTGGCATCTTTTTAAGCTATCTTGGCAAGGGTGCAGAGAGAGGGCAAATATTTCAGGATCTTGGACAACAGATCAGCATTAAAATTTATGTTTTCACTTCAAAACGTCTTGCCAAGAAATTTCTTATTAATAATTAAGGGGACCGACCTCCTCATACAAAAACGTCTACAGTTATTATCCGATTGTCATGAAACTTCACATACTTACGTAAAATGTAGAAAAAAAACATTTTGCTCCTATGAATTTTTCGAAAAAATTGATAGAAAACGTGAAATTCATAGAAAACGGCTAAAAAGCTAAAAAAAGGGGTACTTCAGAAAATCTATCTCCTCCCACAAATATCATCCCACAACATCGAGACACGTATCATACGATTCTTAAAAACCATACCTATCGACTCTAACATCACTTTTTTCATTTTCTACATAGTTTTTTTATGACGTTTTTTCCCATTTTTCTCATTTTTCCCCCACTCCCCCCCCCTTCTCCCACATATAAAAAACGAACCAGATCGAAATTAAAAAAAGTGATGTTAGATTCGATAGGCTTGGTCTTTACAAATTGAATGGTATATGTCTCATTGCTGTAGCTTAAAAACTGTAGGAGGAGATAGATTTTCCGTGAGAGCAGTATGAGGTTTTCAGTACGGCCAAAAGACTGCCCGCGCGGCACTTAAATAGACATAAAAGAGTCGCAACGCAGCCAAGATACCGTAACTTAGCCTTAAACCATTCAAGAAGGTATGGAGCAACTGGCTGCACACCTTTCACGTCGCTGTCATGATGNAAAAGTCGCGCTAATCAAAACTGGCACCGCGTAGATTAAGGGTAGGTCGCAAATTTTTTTTCCGCGTTAATCAAAACCGCGGTATTCAAAACCGTGCTAATCAAGGGATTGCTGTACTCACTGCAGTGAGTGACAGAGAGCACATTTTCTTGTCGACGAGAGCATGAAGTCACAGACGGACAGACATGGCAAGCACAATAGCGCCTTTTTTCTATAAATGAGAAAATGCGCTAAAAATGATTTACACTAATTATTTCCTTCATTTCACTCATATCTTCAAGCTCTCTGAAAGTTGGCCATGTAATTAATTATTATCACTTTCAGTGTTAAAGTTTGACATTGTGTAAATCTATTTCAATAAGAAAGAAGAGCTACTGGCATTGAAATAGTGATGAAAATGCATTGCACTCCAAAATTTAGCACTCACAAACAATTATTGTATTACCAAGATATCTAACAAAGATTTGACTCTAAAACTCCAAAAATGCAAACAAATGTAATCTCATACTGCATACTGTATTGGATTTTTGACCTTAAATTTGAATATATTTTTGATCACAAACCACTCACTCAAGACTGCATAAATCACTCAAAACTGCATAAATTGGTGAAGGGTGCTTGTTTTGCTTGTTTGCATTCATCACCCACAGAAATGTTAATTGCCAAACAGCTCTACATCCATGTTGATATTTGGGCATTGACTACATTGATTATAAATCATTATCCATGGAGAAGCTTAATTGACAACCAGTCTTCTTAAATTGTACTTTGGTGTCTTTAGGGCAATTAATTAGGAGTGCTCTGCTTATTTTGTGCTAACTCTACTGTTGGGGGTTTCATTAATAGAGAGTGGCTCCAAAGTTAATCTATTTTTTGTGTGAATTTAAAATCTGGGTCTAAACCTATGAAAACTTGTTCAATTAAAAAGTGTGCAACTCATCAATACGTGATTCATAGAAAATTTCAAATTGATTAAATTTCAAACTAAAATCTGTGCTTGCTAATTCCATGAAACAGTAATAAGGGATGGTTGAGTGTTTTTTATTGATAACTTCTTACCATGAAACATTTCATAAACTAATTTAGGCTCATTTTGAAGCTCTTTGTGAGGGCTATCGAATAGCATCTCCAAAAAAATTCAATATGCTATTCGTAAGGTGCCAATGCAAAACAAAAGAATCCTGAATTACCTTTGGGAACAGGATAATCTGGGACACTTGAAATAAAACTCATTTTAAAACATTTGAAGCATGCAGAGTGTACTCGTCCATTACTAACAGCACTCTGAAGTCCTCCTCTTCCTTTGTAGATGTAAAATAAATAACATTTTCTGTAATTTTTTCTTGTTTTTCCTTTATTGATATGATATTACTGTATCCATGGACATGCCATTGTGCATTTACAACGACCTTGTCCACTGCAAGCTTCATATCAACAGCCATGTAGCATTTTTTATGTATCTGTAAGCTTTCAGGATGGCTTTTAATTTCACACCATTTTAATTAGGTCAAGTGAATTCACTATAACAAAAAGATTGTAAAAATATACCTGAAACAGAAAGGAATATTTTAGTGACAACCATCATATTTTTGGAGAAATAAATCATGGTTTGGGTTAATTACTTTTAATTCTATGTTGCCTGGTGCACAATTCTATCTATGACACTCTATGCACAATTTTGTGATGACTGATGATGCATTAATTTTTCATTAAGTGAAATTTTTTCACTAAATGAGGTAAATGTAATCAAAATTTTTTTGTTGTTGATTGATTTTTTGGTCAACTAACTGAGGTTCTACTGTGAATGCGTTTTTAGGGGTGTCCCTTATTACCCCAGGAGGTGTCCCTTATTACCCCATCCTGCGGAAATGGCCGCTATTTTTTTTTTGACGAGAGGCAAATTCTGTCAATTGTGCTTTTAAGCCCAAACCTGTGTGCAACGTTCATGTAAGTAAAATTTTTTAATACGTAATTTTTTTTTGCTACAGACCTTAGCAGAGGTACTTTTCCAAAATCGCACTTTTCACACTTTTCAGGGATTTATTAAAGGTAGTAAATGCATGATTTCCTCCTAACTTGCTTTATGCTATATAGATAGTAAAAATGTTGAACTTTATGCCACTATTTTTAGTTTTGCAATATTTGATTAGTTTAGCTGCTGCAACATTTCTACAAAGTGTGAGACAACTGTCCAAATTTACCCTGCCCATCCCTTATTACCCCCTTTTAACAGTAGCAAGGAAACTATAATGCAGTTATAACAACAACAACAAAACTATAATACTGGTACTGGTACACTGAAACTGACTCTCAAGTATGGTAAAAATCTTTGTTTCTCGTTTGAGGTATAAAATAGAGATTTGATGCCAATATCTTCCATGGTTTGGATGTTGTTTGTTACAGCTTGGAAAATTGATACATTGCACAAAAACTGTACTCACAGCATACGAGTTTTGCCACTAATTAGAACAAGGGACAGATTTTTGTAACACTTGCAATAATTTCTTTTTTTCATGGTGGCAAATTTATTTACTTGTCAAGTAGCAACTAGAGCTCTCCCACCATTTTTGGAGCCACAAGATACTTGCTAATTATCTCTTACATAATTGTTAAAAAACTGCATCATTGAGCTGCAAAACTCCAATTTTGTTGAAAATATATGACTAGAGTTGCTAAATTTCTAATTAAATTTTTTTTTTATCATTGTGCTCCTAAGATCTGGTTTTTAGGCCTGAAAGATGGTCCATATTATTAAGGATTCTATAACAGAATTACTAAATTGCTAAATGGTACCTGTAGTTTTATGGCTAATTCTCTATAACTGAGTTTTATCAAGCTAATAGATTTTTTTAGCATTTCAATTTGTTAAAGATGTACTCAGTTGTTTGATCATTTCAGGCCATATGATGGACACACGGAAGAGGCGCAAAGACTCGTCCCTGAACAGAACTATCCCACATGATTTGCTTCACAGACTCCCTAAAAGGTAATTGCTAAAATATTCATGACAATATCCAGAAAAATATGCATCTGAGCTTCAATGCACTAATGTACTGAATTTAAATCATGATGATTTCTAGGCAAACTATTTACTGCACTGTTTGAGCCTCTCTGGTTAAATTGTATAACTGGATTGAAGAGAGGATGATATCCTGCAAAATACGTATTTATTGTATAAGCTTCACTGGCTTAATTAACTGAATTAAATGCAGGATTATATCATGCTAGATAGTATTTAAAATGTATGCTCCATTATATGTATCATTTGAATGGAATTAGAAACTAGGTTAAGAGTGATATTTCACCTAATTATTCTGCAAATCTTCAGTGTAAATTTGTATATTCTGCAAATTTTCATTTTATATTAGTAGAGTATGTATACAAGTAATAGGTAAATTTAAGCTCTTATAGTTTGTTTCTAATCCAATTCTTGTGGTTCCAAGTATGATAACCCTAATACAAATGCATAGCTCCTGCTGGCTGAGCTATCTTTCATTTTTTCTCTACACTTGAACTGAAAGTGAATTGACAATTTTGTCCCAAATGCCAACAAAATGCACTAAAATCCCAGTTGAATGCACGATTTCATCTTGCATACGTATCAACAAAATGGTTTTTGCAGGCCCCGAGTTCAAGCCCAGCGCAAATTTGCTCAAGGGTCTCAACCTCCTCCCCTGGTGCACAAAGATACTGATCCAGCAGAATGTCCCAGTCACAGTGTCACTGGGGCGGCTGTTCGGGAGCGCAGCACCTCCTTGGATGGCAGACCTAGTCTCTTGAGTCGCAACTCTGGTTCAAGCAGCAATGGGGGGAGAAGCAGCTTTGAAATTCCAGGGCGCACATTGGAGCCTTTTGGGCGAGGAATTTTTAATCGTCCTCCATTGAGTGTACCTGTCCGGAATCAATTTGATTTCTTTGGACGAGGACACAATAATACTGATACTGAAACTTCTGCTGGAAATGGTGTTGATGCTGTTGATGATTTGATTCTTCCTGGTAGACCTAAAACTGAGGATTTCCTCACCTTTCTTTGTTTCCGAGGTGAGATCTTTTTCGTGTACTGTTTCTATATTCTTCTGCTTTAGGGCTCACTTTCTATTTCAGTATAAAGTACAATGAATAAGTTTTAGATCGCAATTCGTTAACATTTTTTAGATACAATGGCGTTTGTACTCTTGTATACATGTACTGACCAATAGGCCTTGATTGAATGCTGGAAATTGATTTATCCCACAATGAATTAATATTATACTAAAAATAGTGATCTGTATAATGAATTGTAATTTTTTTGTCTGTTGCAAGATGGAAAATGGTATTGTGAATTAATTTTTTGTGTGAAAATGACATGTTTTACTTGGAGTTTTTGTTCAAAGTTTATAACTCATTATACAGTAAATTTTGCCATGTTAGGTTATTATGAAGTTAACCCGTGACAGCCAGAGTTTTGGCCTAATTGAATAATTCACTGAATGTTATTGCACTTAGATCAACGTGTTGTAATTAATCCAACATTTAAATTGCGAAAAAATATTTATGATAATATTTGGCAGGTACCCCTTTGCTTCCATCAGCTTTTGATCACTTCAACACACCTCAGCTCACTCTTCTTCATGACGCCGGTGCAAACAGACCTTCTCGTTTATCATCAGAGAAACAAGACGTTGACCATTCCAGTTGCCTAAAAGGCAATAAAAGCAGCAGAACGTCTCTAGATGGTGATCATCAACAGCCTACCAATGGCAATGGCAGCTCAACCGTCAAGGAAAGTGTCCGCTATAAGAATACCGATGAAGGCTGTGCAAGTTCTGTTCAAAACCAACGTTTAACTAGGAGTGTTCAAATTCCAGCTTCTAAAACAGATGTGGTAGACGAGGGCGTGCTGACGGCTTTGCATCGCAAGCATGTTACAAGATCTCGGTTACTCAGCAACAAAAAGAAATTGTTAATCAAGAAGGCATTAGAGTTGAAAAGTAAATGCATTCGAGGACGACAGTCTCGGCTTAGTAATCGTTCAGTCGCTATCAGTAAAGTGAATGTTGCTGCTGGAATTGAGAGAAGAGCGACTCGTTCTTCTGAAAATACCTCTGAAAATGATACAGTTCCTGAGCTTGAAGCTAACAGCAGATGTAGAGAACGAAGAGGAAATTTGCGCCGGCGTAGTTGTGATGATTTATTGCCTGATAGTCAAACTGGAAGAAAGGAGACCTTGTCTCCTCCGAGAAGAATCAGCAGAAGTATGGATGTTCGACCCAAAGATTGTGTTGATCAGCCACCAATGAGAAGAGACAGAAATAATGATGCTCTCAAGAGCCGGCTATCCGAGGCATCACCTAGCCTTGCACAACCTTGCATAACTCCAGAGCGCAGCTTCCGTACAGCCCTTCATAGACCAGCATCCGCCATAAAATTGGATGATGGTTCCAGAAACCAGAGAATTGAAATTAGCAAGCACAGTCCAGCACGATCACCTATGGCTGTTGCTGCTCTTAAGAAGTCCCGCTTGGCAAAATTGGCTGTTCTCAGAAATAAACCTAGAATATCAAGGCTACTTCTTAGGTGAGACACTCGACTTGAATGATGCGTGAGCGCATTTCTTGAATTTTCTTTAACCTGCATTATATTTCTATAATTCTAATCCCTAATGAGCTTTATATCTTGTCTATATATGTAGATTTATTAATTTATCAATGAAAACTATGAGGCTTGTTTCAAAATTGTAACCTTTATTTTGCATTGAATGGTTTGTATTTTTTAGTGTAATTTTTCATATTTTGTAACTCTGTCCCATAATTACCACCTTAATTATTGATACATGATATACATAGCACTAGGTAAATTATTCACGTATTTACGTGTGGGTTCTCGGATGGGTTAATCCTGGTAATTTTCTAAATTTGCACTTGAGTAATTTATTTATTATTTTATTTTTATTTCGATTATTGATTTGATTTATTTTTGAAATGTTAATCACATGTCCCTGAAGGATGACACGTGCTTGACAAACTTGTGAACGCATTAATCTTATTTTCTGTTCCCTTTTTCAAAATCTTTTTAAGTTTATAATGTATTTCCAGGCTTGGCGGTGCTTCTGCAGCGGCTGATCCATCAACAGTAGATGGCTCCGTACCAAACCATTCTTCTTTAAGTCCCGTTCGTCAAACCCGCAGCCAAATTGACACTCAATCCTCAGCGTCACCCGATAAACCTACCCTGTGTCCATCGAGACTACGCAAAGAACGTCGGAAGCCTTTCAGTGCTCCAGGATCTGTTAAGGTGGAAGTGAAGGAGGAGATGCAGGACGACAGTGGAGAGGAAGATGTCAGGAAAGCTGCTACCAAAGAGCTGCGGATTTTCAGGAAGGAACCTAAGCTACATGAAGGTGCCATTCCTGAAGGTGGGTGTTTTGCAAAATCTTGGTGGTCTTGTTACTTCGTTTATAAAAGTTTTGATATATTTATAACATGATTTAATCTACGCCTTAATTGGCTGCATTACTGCAGCTTTTATTTAAAAAAATACTTCGAAATATTTTCACGTGTCATTCGGTAGTAGCCAACTGTTAGGCATTTATTATTTCACATTCCATAGGTGTCTAAATATGTTCTGCCTCATGTTTACTGGTAGTGCTGGCGATAGGTAGTAGTCACGAGCGTAAATATCTTTCTCAGCCGTCACTGAGCGTCTATAATATAGTATCAACTGACTTTCTCCTTCTAGTCATCTAATGATTTTGGTGTCTGATACATCGATGTATCATCGTCTTAATTTCCTTAAATTAAATTACAGATATCAAGCCGGACATTTCTACAATCGACATCACTCCTTCAAAAACCTTGAGAAGGTCGAGTTTAGGCCTATCCCCACCTCGGTCTCAGCCCTCTGCTAACGCAGATCCTCACTCCAGCATTCTCAGCAGCTCACCACTGAGTTTGATGTCTGGAAATTCGTCCGTGCCTAGTACCCCAACTTCTCCTGAAAATTCTCCTTCTTCAGACGCATCTTTTGTTGTAAAAGTTGATGCAGGTTGCCAGCAATCTGTGCCTCGTGTGAAAAGACCGCGACGTGGCAACAGTTTCAACTCAGTTGTTACTTCAGAGTCTTCTATTAATGTTCCATTGTATTGTGGCCCTTTGGATGCAAGTACAAACACGAGCTCGAAAACACAGGATGATGCAAACAATCGTGCAACTAACAACACATTAGTTTCTAGGTTAGATAATGCGTGTAAATATTTTCCCGGGAGCAAAAACTCCACTTCTACAGGTGCCATTGAGAAACATAATGTCAGAAATAAGCCAAATAGAAGACAGTCTGCCAGTGATATCACTCTTCCAGAGGACAGCACTTCGACAGTTTCTCCTAAATCTGATGTACAGAAAATGAGGTAAATTTAGAAGTATAATTGTTGACTTTTTTACAACACTTCTCTTTAGCTTCACTTCTTGTTTGTCTGTCTGTCTGTCTGCTACAAATCTTATAATCGAAATTTGACACACTTCTACTTATCCTATCGATCTGAAATTTTGCACACTTGCGTAAAGTTGGGGACAATGCATGAATCAAATGACAAAATAAATGATTTTAAAATTTGAAAATTTTTATTTTTTTTTATATTAAAAAAATTGAAAAAATAATTTTGTCAGCTACAAATCTTATAACTGATATTTGACACACTTTTTCCTGTCCAATTGACATGAAATTTTGCACACTTGTGTGAAGTCGGATTCAATGCATGAATCAATTGACAGAATAAATAATTTTGAAAAAAATTTATATGTTAAAAAATTAAATTTTTTAATATTCGAAAATAAAATGAGAAATTCATTGTACATCTTTAACATTGGAGACACTGTATTCCTTAGAAGTGTTGTCTTTAAAAAGTACTTTTTAAACGCATATTATTTCAATGGAAAGATGCTCGTGCACCTGTTAATATCGTATATTCCATTGAATTGTTATATGCGCTTTATCTAAGACTCTCTTCATAAGCGTAAAATTATGTTAACTATTGAATTTTAGGAGTTGATTTTCATTGAAATTTCCTGTAAAAACTTATAATTCATTATTTTCAGGCAACTCCGCTGTTCTCTGCGAGAGGATCGAGTCGAGAGTACTGCAAGTAAGACTCATTCAGTAATCTTTCCGCAGCTCAAAGCTCTCTATTCTGCGCCGCTAAAAATTAGCTTTACCTTCTCACTTCTACGCTTGAATGCAATCAATTAATGATATTTTATGAAATCAACTTTTTCAAGTTTGATAGAAAACGACAGTTAGGTACTTCATTTCCATCATTAATTTCCAAGTTTGATAATATAATGATCATTAACAGTCAGCGGTATTTTGGAGTGAATTGTAGATTGTTCAGCACATGAAGTCCTGAAGTAAACAATTTTTACTAACCCAGCTACGCAATCCATTTCGTTTCGAGGGAATTTTCCTCTTTTTTAACTCTACTTATACGAGGTTAGTATATCTACTTTGATTTCCATTTTCATCGATGTTAGTTTTATTGCTGTCATTAGTTTGCTCCAACATGTGCTCCGTATACTCAGGTTTAGACGTCAGGGAAACGCGCAGACGTGCAAGTGAAGGATCACCTCAGAGTTCTCTTCACAAGCCATTACCTGCGCGTGCCGATTTAGTCAAGGATGCAACTAACAGACAAGTGGTTCTCGATGAAAACGATAGCAAGAACGTTCGTCTCAAATCCCGTAGCAAAAGAAACATCCGTGTTCACGGCCGGGGACTCAAATCCGATTCGACCTCTACAACGACTACAGATGCATCCAGTGATGAAAACTTTATTGCGACTGAAAATGCTACTAGAAAGTCTCAGCGTATCAGCAGAACGAAAGAGACTGTTACTGTTATAAATTCGCCCGGTAAAATATGTACAAGAAGTTTATCAAGTGGATCTAGCCGAGGTGCTCAGTCGAGGTCTGTGTCACGAGAAAGTTCTTTGAGTAGGCGAATTGGCGCTTCTTCCAAGGATTTGAAGGGCTCCATAATGCATAATTCGCGAGTTACTAAAACAGAAAATCTTTATGAAAAGAGGCGCAGTTTAAGAGGAACTTCTAATAAAAATCTGCGTTCTGACACTGACCAGAGGGAATCGGATGAACCACGCTCTAGTGAAGACGAAACTGCTAATGACGGAGACGATGAAGATAAAGTTGCAACTAATTCTCTTTCGAAACGAAACTCGTTGAACGAATCGACTGATCAGAAAACTAGTCTCAACAAGCGTCGCACTCGCAGCCATGAAAGTTCGCAGGAATTGCCAACTGTCAGAACCAGATCGTCTGAGCGTTTGGGAGCGATTATACCACCCTCAAAGAAAAATTTATTAGTAAATTCTAACTGTACCATTGCGAGTATTCCGTGCATCTCCCCTGTCAAGAAAGAATTCATTTCAGATGAAGAAATAGACGTAGAAGGCGTTGATGTTCCAAGTATGTATGACACCGCCATATCTGTCAAGTGCGAGAAGAATGATGTCACAACGCTTCAAGATCGGTTAGCTTCCACAAGTTTAGGAGAAAATGAGACACGAACTTTGGATTCAAGCCATTCATCGTCAACAAGGTCTTCCAATTCTTCACTCTCAGAAAATGCAAGTGCGTACATTCCTCGCGAAACATCTATTGGTGTTCTCAAACGTCGAGCTTCTATACCTAGAAAGAAAGCCTGCAATCCTAAAGACAAGAGACTCGATGATGTCCTTGGTTCTGTGGCGAAAGTTTTCGGAGATAACATCGATGAAGGTCATTACAGCAAAATGGAACGCGATTTGGCATTAGGAAATAAAAGTCCAGAGAAACACGTGAAGAATTCCCCATTTACAGAAGTTGATGAATCATCTATGCACCCCCGGATTGTCCCCGGAGAGAAAACAACTTCCAACGTGCCTGGAGGCACTAAGAGTGATCTGGTCAACGGTTTGGACAGTGTGATGTTCTATTCAAATAGCAGTAACCTAAACTGTAACAGCACTAACCAATCTCCCTCAGGTACTTTGATGAAAGTGACGGGCAGTTTGCTGAAGGCTCCACGCCGTGGGCCATTAAATGCCAAGAAACTTAGTGACGTCGTGCGTAGCTTGGCCGAGAAGAAACGAGCTGAGAGTCCCCTGACTTGCGTTACGGATGATAAACCCGACTTCCTCAAAGATCTCAAGACAAAAACTCTCGATGATGACGACAAGCAGAGGCAAGTACGTGAGGTGTGTCTTGGTCCTGCACTTATCGCGTGTGTTATGACTTCGACTTCCTCCACCACCACTTTGACTTCTTCACTTCTCACCATACCTCATGTTTCTGCTACTTTCACCTCCACACATACCGTATCTGCTTGCGTTCCTGCCACCACCACTACCACGTCTGTTAATCATCTACCACTGGTCAGCACGAGTGGCTCTTCAAATTCTATTCCTGCTAGTGCTTCATTGCCAAAAGCTCCTGGTCGGACTGAGGCTTCTTCTTTCATCGCACAAGTAGAAACGTCATCTATCATGAGTGTATCTCCTTCTAAGAGCTTATCGAGTGTATCGCAACCTATTGTTGCTGAGAGTGTTCCAAGTGTTGCTTTTTCTGTATCAGATGGTTTCACTGGAAGTATTGAAACTGGCAGCAGTTGTGTAAATTCATCAGAAAGTGTCTCATGTTTATCGGAAGGAGCAATTCACGTTACTGGGTCGATTCCTCCATGTGACGAAGTTGATGGTAGTAAATCCAGCAAAGTGCATAACGGTGCTCCCAAGAATAAGCAAGGAATTATTAAAAATAGTTTACGTCTTTCCGAACGCAAATTGCCCTATGCGTCTTTAGTTTCTGCGCAAAGTGATAATACTCATAAAAAATGTAAAATTTCACCACCTGTCTTCATACCTTCCAGGTATACCAAAAATTCTGATATTAAATCGAGTGTGAGTTCGAATATTAAAACTGCTTCTCTTAGCTCTAAGGAACATGATAATGCGGCCAATAATCTCGTGAAAAATGACGTACCACGTAGCACTTGTCTAACAGAAAATGTTGAAAATGATCACATTGATGGTACGTTAAAAGCTAATTTTAATGCCGCTTCATCTCCACATCTTGCGGATGCGCAAAAATTGCCATTGCTTAGTTCTGAAGCACCTCGCGCGTCTCGTCTCTCACCGCAAGTAACCAAATCTTCTTTCACTGCACCAGTAACTCAAGAGGTGACTGTGTCCACTACTTTACCCTCACGTATGTTTTACGGTTCGGGTGCTTGTCGTTCCTCTACCGCAGAGCGCATTGCACTCTCAGGGCACCTTATTGTGCCTCACATATCGCTAAAATCTCCATCACATTCTTCCAAGAACAGTAAAGCAGGTGCCAAACAAACTAATAAATCGTTGAAAGTTCATTCCCATGCTTCATCGAAAGATAGTTCTAAGAAAATCAATTCGCGACAAAATTCTTCATTTTCATCAACAGCTCACGGTAAAGCTACGCTTAAGAAAACCACTCATATATCTACTAGCGGTGTTCACACTTCGTCGATCTCTATTACTCCTAAGGTTAAAATAATTGAAAAAACGAGTAGTCGTGGTCCTATCAATAGAACGACTCTAAATATTCCTAAGGTGATACCTGGCCAACGTGGATTGGCCGTCCGTGCCAACAATGACAATTTGTTGAATGTGGATTACGATAATAATAGAGGTGATGAAATTCCTAGCATCACCATCAACTGTGATAACTCTGAAATAGTCACTCTCACGTCAACAGTCACAGCTACTTATTTCACGTCGAAACCACTAGATATTACATCCGCTGAGATAGCGGTTGTTACATGCGGCAAGTCAAGCGGTGAAACTAATTTTATTACAAAAATTACTGCACCAGAAGTAGAAATTGGCACTGGCTTGAGAATACCATGCGTTTCTTTGGCGCCTGCTTCGTCACCACTAGTGCCAAATTCAGCCACGAATTTCTCCGTGACGACCGAAAATTCTCGACAAGAATCGCAGCCGACTTTCATAAATTCCTGCCCTGGTGTTCAGCCTGCAGAGCCTCCGTTAGTTGAAAACTCGGCAACTCTAAACGTTACTATGCCACCCACGCCTTCCGCTACTCCGGTCCCGCAAATCTTCAATTCCTCTATGGGCATTTTTCCTAGTCAGACCTGCATTCCTCCTTGCATTACTTCTCAAATCGGATCACCGGCTTTGCCATCTTCTCTGTTAACGTCTTTAGGAGTGCCAAGTAGCATCACTGCATCTAATTTACACGTACCTCACTTACCCATAAGTGCCAATTCCCATGTGGCGTCAACTCTACCTTCTGGTAATTTACTCATCTCTGGTGGAGATTCTTCGTGGTCCCATGCTGGGGCTGGGTTATCTCAACTGCCTACAATAATGACCTCATTACCCACAAACGTGACTCAGGTTACCAATCCTGTAGTCCCTATCGACGCCTCTGGTTTACCTCAAAATCCTCTATCAGGTATTCATCTGTCCAATTTACCTCCCGGTGTTGTATCTAATATCCGAGCTTGCCCTGCCGGTGTGGTTAACGGAGTTCCTGCCGCTGGTATGATGACCAACTTGCAGGCAGGTGGAATCGTACAAAGTATTCAATCTCAAGGTCTAAATGCAAATCGTTTATCTACTATCCAATCTCCTAACGTCCCTGCTGGTGCTATTGGTAATATTCAGGTATCAGGGTTGGCTGGCAACTTGCCCAATTCCATGCCAGCTTTGCAGAACAACCTCACATCATTCCCGACAAACGTTACGCAATTATCAAACAATTTAATGCCACTCTCCAGTTCCATGTCTTCACTCGCATCAAATATTGGTAACCAAGCTAGCCTTGCATCATCTACCGCAACTCTGAATACCATTTCATCGTTACCTCCCGTGTTTCCAATGACTGGACCAGTCACATACAACTCGGTGGCTTCGTACACTGGAGCAGTGAGACCATACGTTACTTCTGCTCCACAATTGGCCTATTTTGACACCACAACAATGACATACGTCACTCCAACTTTACTTCCTTCTTTAGCTGCACATCAGGGAATTCTAACAGCGTCCTCAGTTTCTTCGTTCGTTCAGCCGGGTGGTGCTATACCACCGTCGTACACTATCATGTCAATTCCTCCTCAATCGATGGCACAAAATCCTTCCAGTGTTTGTTCAAGTGTTAGTTCAGCTAGTGGTTCGTCGCAGAGCCTCAACACATCGGTTCCATCTTTAGCAAGGAACTCACCTATCATGATGAACACGCCGATGCTGACATCCAGCCAAAGCGCATATGTTTCCAATAACACAGACGTTTGTTCAATATTTCCTCTCCCAGCTGGGTCTCTGAATTCACCATCAAATGTAGGCATAACTACACCGCAGTTCCCAGGACATCTATTGACCGCTGCACCACCATCGGCTAATCTGAGCAGCAATGCTCGGCCTGTAGTTTTCCCAACATCTGGTGTCATAATGGGCGCGGCATCGAATCCAACATCCACTTCGTCTCCTATTAAAACAACTAAGCAGATACATATAGCTCCCAAACCTAATAGAATGACTGTTCCCTGTGGTTCTATATCATCGTCCGTCTCAAATAACTTCAAGTCATCTCCTAAACCAATTCAAATAGCCCCTAAACTGACTTCTCAGCCACTTACTATTCCCTCTGCGGTGAACAAGATACACACTACTCCTCAAATAATCACGACTCCCCAAGGGTCTCACCTGATCCACACCATTCCGAACCTTCAACCTTTCCAATCTTTACCTCAAGGCCTGCAAGCTTTCCCGCAACCACTCCAAGGGGTTCCGACTCTTCCAACGCACATACCTTCGATTGCAGGTGTGCCGGGAATTTCTGTTACTCAGGCGTTGTCTCTATCTGCAGCCGCTCAACTAGTCACTCCTACAGTCGGTGATATTTTGTCACAGCAACTTAGTATTGTCAGCACCATTCCCAACGTGGAATGCACTCAAGCGACGTTCAGTTTTTCCACGGCACCTCAGTACTCGATAGTTCCTCAACACACGGTCTCGTCTCAAAGTTGCAATGATGGAGCTTCGTTAAATACTTCAGTAAATAATGGTATATCATCGTACGATGCTTCAATCAAGTGCTCTACCTACATACCGAGCGTCCCATCCGTCCAAAGCTCCATCTCGAATGTGTGCGATAGCTCTCATCATCCCCAGACGACCGATGAACGGAAATTTCCCGTAGACGGATTAACTACAGTTCCACATGTAGTGACTGATTCAGGTGCAACCTTGTCATTGAACGTAAGTAATGCTACTTCCGTCTGTCCACCCCTCAATTCGATTAACTATGGTTTCCAGCCATCTTTGGTATCCACTTCGGTATGTCAAGGTTCTGCTGGACTTGGTGAGGCAAAAAGTATGAACATCGCGAGGTCAATGGAGTCTATGACCCAAGGATCAATCTCTGTTACTAGTAGCTCTCTTGTTACTCCCTTCATTACTGTAACGAGTGCCAATATTTTACCTCAGTCGGCAGATGTAAAATCTGCTGTTACAAGCTCCCCTTCGCCAATACACCCATTGAGTCAGTCAGTTGCTGTATCTTCGGCTGAACTTGTATCTAACCAATGTTCTCCGAACAACAATGACCCTGATATCGTTCCTACCTCGGAAAACAAACACGTTGTTTTCTCAGAGGACTCAAAACTCGTTACGTCGGATCATGTATCTGATCTTCAAATATGCGATACTCCAGATGAGGCTCTTGGTTCACCTTGTTCGACTTCCGATTCTTTCATTGAAGTAGCTGATGTCTCGGATGTTTCATCTGCAGATGTTGATCAGTCTATGGATGAAGCGACCAAATCTGAAGAAAAAGCCCTCAAACACGATATGTTAAATTTGAAAACATCTGCGAATAATAAGACAAGTACTGTAAGCACTAATGATCTCCCGCAAAATAGTCTCAATCTCCCAGTATCATCCTGTGAAAATAGCAAAGTTAATGTCGTTCCTATACAGGAAGAACCATTACAAAATTTCACAAATATTGGATCCGGCGTAAGTTCTCGGGTAGGTGAAATTATGAAATCCGATTCACCTATGTCTCAGAAAACGACCAAAAATTCAAGCTCTTGCGATGATGGCAGGTTGGTAAAGTCATCGGAAGGTCAAACAAATGTTGGCGAAGTTATAAATCGAGAATTGTCTGTTTCTGCTTGTGAAACAATTTCATCTGCGTCGCATCCAACTCTTAGTCCTGCTTCTGGTGCAGCCTCCTCAGTTCCGTCTGCGTCACTTGCTGCCAAAATAAGTCCATCAAACTCGTTCAGATTCTCTGGTCCAAAACACCTGTCGGTTTTACCCGCTCCCACTCCGCGTATGACCCGAGGCGTGGTGCCACTCGTACATCCTTCATCTGGAAGCTTTTTCTCGTCCGTCACTCTTGTTCCTTCGAAGATCTTAACTCCTGTCGTATCTGTGCCAAATTCATCTAAATCCGCTCCCATTATTGAGCAGAAAATACAAAAAACTGTAAATGAACCTGCCAAGCATAAGGTTTCTGGGAGTGAAATGGTTGCAACATCTGCTACTCCGGATGAGAAAAAAGATCCCTTGTTAAAGCCTCTAATTAAAGTGCCTGATGGAAGCCAAAATATGCCTGCAAAAAATAACAAAGAATCTCTTTTGCAACAAAATAATGCTCCCAAAACGGGAGCAAGTGATCGCCGACCGATGAATGTTACTGGTGGTTTAAACTGCAAAATTCCTAAATTTGCTTCATCTTCTGTTACAATTACAACGATTCCAGCACGAATCAACGATTCTTCCAGAACCCGCAAGATTACAAGTGGGAAAAATATAGTTGATAAAAAGAAAGAACCATTATTAAAACGTCCTCTCTTTCGCACCAAGAGTCAAGAAAATGTGTCAAAAAGTAGTTTCGCATTTTCAGTGGTTAACGAAAGTAGTGTATATGCTTTCGAGCCTGATACTGATTTACAACTTGATGAAACCTCAGCTTTTTCAAAGCGAATAAAAAAGAAGAGTGCTGCTCAATTGATGCCCATCAAACCCGCTGCTTGTGAAAGTGAGAGACCAATCCTTTTCAAATCCACTTCCGACTCCAAGGTGAATCTTCGTAGCGCCAAGGAAACTGAAGAAGTGAAATTAAATTTAGCCGTCGAAACCGCAGCTTCAATGGTCAAACGTACACCACGCACTGCGTTTAACCAGCGACTCAAAAATCGTCGATCATCTCTGACAAATGAAACTATGCCTTCAATTCCTGCTGATTACCATAACGCCAAATCTGAAAGTGTGACTTTAGAACAAAACAAATCAACTGTTTCGGATGCTTCTATCACTTCTAAAATAGTACCTATAGTGCAAGAGCCTTCGTCGCGTCTACGAGCAATGATATCTCCTACCAAAATTCCAACAGTAGAATCAGCATCATGTCTGTTAAAGAATTCCCTGCCCTCAATGCCTCAGAGTGGTGACAGATTACTATCTGGCACCGGAAATAACTCCTGTTTTGCACTTCCTGTTAGAGTGAGCAAGCATTCAGCAGTCGGATCGCTGCCTCCCGTTTCCGATTCTGCGTCTGATAGCGAGGTTGGCGATTGCCGCTTAAATGTTTCTTCCACATCATCCTCTGTTACTGGTAATACTTGTTTACCTTCTGAATCTAGTCCAAAAACATTATCATCTCCAAGCCCATTGGCTCCGATTTTAAATCCCGTTTCATTGCCTTCAACAAGCAATCATAGAGAAATTAATGTTGCGAGTCAGCCAGGCGCAAAGACTCCAAGGATCTCTGCACCCTCTGATATGCAATCAAATTCTGTACTTTGCACGACTAATGAGAGCAGTGTTGGAAATTCTCACACAAACACGAGTCCTTCTAGGATGGAGGTTTCTTGCAAAATAAAAAATCCTCCCCTCACAGCTGATGCTCCGAAATTCAGTACTGAGATTTTCACGAATCCTCCCATCGTGCAAGTCGCACACGCTGCTCCAGATATCGACATTATTCGGGGCGTCAAAACCTCATTTGTTCCACCCACAAGTCTTATTTCGAATCCTTCGATTCTAGGCAATTCATCGCAGGTACCAACTAGTTACGGGGCGCAAACGTCAGTTTCAAGTAAGGCTTCATCACCTCATACTTCTGTACCTCCGGCACCGCTAGTCTCTTCTCAGAATTCCACTGCAAACTCAGAAGCATTAATTGAGAGAACTGCAGCCTCTTTGCCCATCAAAAGCGTGTCTATCATAGATGCGACTGCAGATGGTACATCCGTTTCAAGCGATGCTGCACAGTCTTTAACTAAATCATCAGGCACAGAAATTAACAAGGAGCTTCCTGTATGTAGTAGTAAATCTGCACCAGAAAAATCGAAGTCCGTTCAGAGCACATCGATCGCAATTCAATGCGATATGGATGAGCCCGTAGCCGCTCTCTTTCGTCCTGAGATTCTGGCGTTTAATAATGAAAGCGGGACTCAAACTGAAGGACCTTCAAAACTACCTTTGCCGCCATCTGCTTCTCCATTTTATTATTTGCCCCTAGCAATGGCTGCTCTGGGCGAGAAACTTCCTGCCCAACTGGTTCAGCAAATGTTGGCCAAGACCCAAGGTTTGGTGGGGGCAGCTGAGGCGGGTATGATCCTCCAGCAGGCAGCTCAGCTGGCGCAGCAGCACCAACAAAAAGTACAGCAACAAAGCCATTCTGATGCCCCGTTGCCTGAACCGCCGCCTGTTGCTAAGCCTGTTCCTGTTACCACTCTATCTTCGGTTCCTATACAACATGGTGCGCTCACGTTAGAGGAATCCATCCTCGTGCAAAGCGCTCCTTTTGACCCTAATGTATTGCAGTCTAGTAGTAAAGCAGGAACATCTCGTGCTGTCGTCGACGGCAGTTCACGCACGCAAACGCAACCCAAGGCGGTTCAACAACCTTCTAGAGTGAAAGCAATGCAGCAACCGCCTCTACAATTGCCCCAACAAGCGCAGCTTCAGCAAAAATCTCCAGTATCTGATAAAACACAGTTGCCATCGGCGTCTCAGCAGTTGCCGTCGATTAAATCTCAGCAACCTATTAAAGTGAACAAATCACCTGCTTCGCCGCAAAAAGCTGGTATTCAGCTTCAGGCCGAGCAGATTGCGCAACAGCAGATAGCGCAACAGCAAATGCTGCAAAAATCTCAACAGCAGTTGATCCTAAAATTGCAGGGGCAGAAAAATGTATCAAAACAACAATCTGGACAAAAGTCTCAAGTTGAAATTCATCCGAAGCAGTCGCACATTCCTCTCTTTGCCTCTCCCACCCATTTAAACTTCAAGTCTTCGGCTCAGGCCCTTTCCAAAAATCAGCCGAATCGCAATGTTCCTGCTAAAGTGCATCCAAACAAAATTGGAGCGGCAAACATGAAAACTTCAGTTGGGTCACTGCGATCTACTTCTGTGGCTCGAATCTCGGGTCCTTTCATTGAAACGCCACCCATCATCAAGTCGTCCCCTCCCGTGTACATTACACCGCCTGCTAGGATAACATCAGAGGCGTTCAACCCAACGCCCGCATACATGGCCTCTTCATTGTCATCACATAACAAAAACGCGCATAATTCACCTTCTCTCGCATCAAATCATTCACATTCGAATTTGAGCCACACGTCGTCTGGTGTTATGTCCTCCACTGCATCACATAGCTCTGTAAATAGCGGGCTTAAATCACCCTCTCGAGCACACAATGTCTCCAAATCTGAGCCTTCAGTAATATCTTCAACAATTAACTGCACAGTTCCAGTAACAAGTGCACTTCATAATAGTATACGAACAAATCCTTGTACCACTAATGCCTGTACCAGTGCTACTGTCTCCGCCCCTAACAGTTCAGTGGTCGACGACGTTCACGACGCTCGTCTATCAAGCGTACTCGCTGCCAAATCTGTCACGGTTGTTTCCTCGACTGCTTTAAAGATACGAACAGACTCCGATAGTCCGGTGCAGCTTGTGAGTACGCGGAAATCTTTAGAGGTCCATAATGAGCTTCACAGTGATATTGCCGAAGATAGACCTTCTAGAACGCGTGTTAAACATAGTCGCAGTAGGAGCGCTGACGAAGTTTTTATTAATAAAAAACTAAGACTGGACTCCTTGTCTGACTTGGATAACGAACCATCCCTTGTGCTGACAAGTATCAAACCCGTTTGCGATGAAGAACTTATTGCTGGAGCTGTGAATCGCGAAAACATTTATAATGAAGGTTTTAACGAGGAACTTGCTGAAGTTGGACCATCAGTCACTGATCCAACAATTTCGGAGAAAGAAATGGGATCTGTAAGCGATCGAGAGCTGGGATCGAATAAAGCTGCTTTGTTAAATAAAAGTTTTAAACCAGGCTTTTCGAATCAAGTTGAAGAACCAAATAAAATTATTACTTGCCACGTTGGAAAAGCGCAGAGTTCCATGCAAAATTCTCCAAATTTGAAAGAAAGTGAAAAAGTAACTTCCGAGCCGAAAAAATATCAGCCTATCCAAGACCCACTACCACGATCTGGAGATGCGACAGAAAAACCTCCGATGGTCAGCGCCGTACTAAGAGCAGAGGAAAATCTGGCCGGTTCGAATGCAGCGAAATTTTCGAAAACGGAAGAGTCAGCCAGCGACCGTGGTGAAAAATCGAGCTGCATCAGTAGTAAAGCGAACTCGCTTGGAACAACTTCTTTGAAAGGCATTGACAGTTATTCGAATTCAGTGATCGCTAAAGAAACCAGTCCTGAAAATGTGTCGAGTTCCTGTGAAACCAATTCGCACCCAGAAAAAGCCTGCGAATCAAATCCCATGGTGAAACATCATGGGGAATCCAACCATACTTTGTTAAGAGAAAATCAAACTAGAAGTCGCAAGATACCCGGTAATTTTCATTGTGATAATAAAGAACCTGAGAAGAGCTCGAAAGCTGTGGATACTCAAAATGAAGTAAATGATGAAACGCTGAAAACTAGAATTAACGATAGCTGCAGTCCGAAGCTGAAAGCAGACAATTCAGAGTTATCTGATAAGAAAGGCTCCAACCGTGATATCAGTAACAGCGAAAAACCTGTGTCGAGTACGCCGGAAAAGAAATCTTCGACGTTAGGAGAAAAGCGCCCTTCGAAATTAAAGTCGGAAAGCCTTTCATCAAAGTTGAATAACGACGAAAACGACACGGGGATTTCGGCCTCGAACGATGCTGCGGAGGACGAGAAAGTCGACGACGAAGATGATTCCGAGAACGATGCGACGCCAGTAGTTCGTCGCAGTAATCGCTCGTCAACCTCAGCGGCGACACGCGCCACGGAATCCGACCAACAGGGCGTAGAGCAGCTGCGACGGCATCGTCGTGCTAAACGCGCCGCCGCCGCGCTGGCGCGAGGAGATTTCCACGACCTCGAAACTCTGTCGGACTTTGAGCTCCAAGACGGATGCAAGAACTCCAGCCGGAGCCGGCGTCGGAAAGGGTCCAGTGGAGGGGGAAGTGGCCGTGTAAGCAGCGGGGGAAGTGGATGGGTTTCTCCCAGCGCTGGCAGCGATGCTGGGGGACTTCCACCCCCTCTGAGTCCCCAACTTTCCCCTGACGCTCTCAGAGGATGGCCTCCTCCCAGATTGACCAGGTACAGTATCCTTTATTTGATTTAAAATTGACTGATTATTTAGATTTATATACCTAGTACTGTATTCGATTTAAAATTGACATATAAAATATGATTTTCTACCAAGCCTAATTCCAATGATAGAGTTCTTCACTATCCTAATTGAAGTCATTGCTGGCTATGTTACCTATTATTATTCTTCGATTCATGGAAAGGTCTTCGCGGGTTGTTAAAGAGTTTGTATGTAGGATGTGGAATAAATTTTTCATTGGAGATGAAGCTTGGTGCTTGGAAGTAATAGCTGAAAATTTGTGCTTTTCCGTAAAACATAGTTGAGTACCGTTGCTTATGTCTAGGAACATTAAAACTTAGTCGCCTTACTCTTGCATTAAAAGTGAATTTTATTATCTGAAAGGAAAATACCGTGGGCTTTATATCGTCGAAGAAGATTATTCCCGGTAATGATATTCTGAAACTTATCCTTCCTATCCTTCTGAAACTTATCCTTATTATCACACTTTTCTCTATTGATTATCGTAATGCCAGGTCATCGTACTGCCAGAAAAATTGTCGCAATATTCCCTCAGTTTTTGGTTAGTTTTGTCTGATAAAAATAAATTTCTTATAAATATCTCAGTATGAATCCTGCTATTTTACTATTCAACTTAACACATTAACATTTTCAATGTGCACCAGCCCTAGCCCGTCGCAAAGCTCAGAAGGCGCCAGTTCGACGACATCGCAGCGCAGTAGCCAGCGCACGAGCGTTCGCCACAGCAGCGCTGCCTCGGCCTCGGCCGCTGCCCAGCGTCATCAGTCACCCCAGCCACGGAGGTTAGAATATCAGTAGGCCCTGGGACCGTACTATCGAAAATAGTTGCGCGTTCGTTTCGGCTTTTGTAACTGATGGCATAAATTACAGGCGAGAAATTAGCCGCTACGTGTAATTAACGGTATTTATTGTGCGGCCTCTACTTTGTCTGGCTCCAGGGTGTTGTGTAATGTCAAATTATTCAGCGAGCCCGTGATGGTTGTGGAACTATCTAACGCGTAGTCTTAGTGCCCATTCTTCTGTTAGAACTCTCTCCAGCTTTTTTTAAGGACGATGGCGGTGGGAATCGAATCCTGACTTGTATCTCTGAAATCGACCATAAATGCTCGATAATATTCAGGTCTGATGATGGTGGTGGCCCAATGAGATGCTCAGCTTCATTAGAATGTTCGTCGTGCCATTTTTTAACAATTCCAGCTGTATGGATCGGGGCATTATCATCTTGAAAGATGGCGTTCCCCTTCGGAAACTGTGTTTCAATCATTGGATGAACTTGGTCCTCCAAAATTCATACGTAAATAGTCACGGCTGTTGATTCTTCCATGAAGAGAAATCATAAGTCCCTCGGACCGATGATTTCCAAGAAATAGCACCCCAGACCATCATACATCCCCTGCCATGTTTTACGATTAGGAGGAGGTAGTTAGGATTAAATGACTCCTTTGACTGTGTCGTTTGGTAAACGATGACTCATTTGGTTGGTCATCGTTTTGATAAACGATGATTCGTCAGAGAAAATCATATTTTTCCACTGCTCTAGGGACCAAGTCTGGAGGTTTTTACACAACTCTAAACGCTCTGATTCATTTGTATTTGAAACCAGAGATTTTGTAATTGCAACTCTCATGGAATATAGATTTGTGCCGCTCTCGGCGGACGGTCTATATGGAAGCTGCGTTCTGTAGGTGTCCGTTGCGGTCTGCAGTAATTACAACAGCCGTGGTCTTTCGATTGTCCCTCGCAATTCGATTTAAGTACCGAGGGTCTCACTCAGATAACTTCGACTTTCGGCCACATCTGGGTTTTGCTGAGGACGATTTTCCTTTCAAAACAGTCATTACTTTTGAGACAGTAACGGTACAAACGTTAAGCATTCGAGAAGTTTCAGTCACACTAGCACCTGCCATACGGACACCAACAATTTGGCCTCTTTGAAAGTCAGGGAGGTTTGCCATTATAGGATATAGACGTAAAAATTTACTAAAAATATCTGCAAGGATGAAGTATAAATTAACAGCAGCAAGCCAACAATAAATAAACAAACATAAAAACGTCACGATAAAAAATTACGATATCAAAATGTCAGGTGTTTCCCCTATTTTGTGCAACCCCGGTATATCTTATTTATGTATGAAAATTTTTTTAGAATTTCGTGCATTAATCCTATTGTGACTCGTAATAATAATTAAAAATTAGGAAGAAGATTAACAAATTTTTTTTTATTCCTGCAACATTGAAATCTCAATTGAAGGTTTAAAGAATTTCTAATCTTTCTAGATCAATAATAATTTTTAGGGTATTGAGCGAAACAATTTCAAAATTGCAGTAAAGAAGTATTAGTAAACTTTTATGTAATTCTTACATCACGATTCATTAAATGAGTGTAATGCAAACTGATTTTTATTTTATTGCTTAAATTGCATGTTGTCATCAACGAAAAACCTTGATTATTGATAGTAAAAATAAATTCTACAAGTATTCTTGCACTTCTCTTTTTCTTTTTCATTATCAATAAATGAACTGCGCAACCTTCAAAGTTTGCAAATTATTTGTCAGCTAAATAATATTTCTGGGTTACTATCAAAAGAAAAACACATTTTTAATAAATAAAAAACTGCTAATAAGTTATTCGATTATTAATTTAGTAAAAGTTATCAATTTTTTAATAACCATTATTATGATAATTAATTACAAAAATTGTTAAAAGATAAATAAATTGCAGGTTAGCACGCAGCAGCCGAGGCTCATGTAGCAGCGTCAGCAGCAGTGGGGACACTAAGCCTCCCCAGACTAGCCCCAGCGCTGCTACAGGAGGAGGAACCTGGCATCCTGACCCCATCCTAGCAGACCGAGCTCCCCAAGTTAGCGAGAACTCGCTTCTAGCGCGAGCCCCGTCGTTCTTCCCCACCGCTGAGGAATTTATCGAACCTCTTGACTATATCGAGAAGATACGACCTGAGGCTGAGAGGTGATTTATTGTTATTATTATCTTAACCACCGCTGAAGAATTTATCGAACCTTTTGACTACATAGAGAAGATACGACCTGAGGCTGAGAGGTGATTTATTGTTATCATTATCTTTTCCACCGCGGTTGAGTGCATCGAACGCTTTGACTACATCGAGATGCTACGATCTTTGACCGAGAGAGGCGATCTGTTATTGTATAACTATTATTTTCTCTTATTTCATTCCATTTTCCAGCCTCATAATTTTCTGAGCATTACTATTCATTTCGCATCACTTTTCATTGGATCAACCTTGAATTTAATCCTAATTAGGTTTCTAGACATGCCTTGCCTTTATCATCACGCCATTCGCTTATCAAATTGTATATTTTCGTGTGTGTCCGTATATTTGATAAATTCTAAGCAGCCTTCTCCTGTGCCGGTTCAATTGTAGTTTCTTAGTCTCACCCTCAAAACGTTGCTCATTCATTTTTTAGCTATATTTTATATTTTCTTCTGTTGCTTTCTTTTCAATCGACACTAAAAACAACCCCCCATGCGACAGGTTCGGCATCTGTCGCATAGTGCCGCCATCGTCATTCCGGCCGGAATGCCGCGTGAACGACGACATGCGCTTCGTGGTCAACAACCAACACATACACAGGCTCCTCAAGCGCTGGGGTCCAAACGTTCGCACCACCTGGGCCATACGCAAGTGTCTTGCTAAGCAGAACATCGAGCTTACTTCTAATCCCCTTGTAAGTTTTAGTGGCAAATTGGTAAAGAATGGATGATTATTGCTGGCGGATCGGTGAATGATTGATGGTGATTGCTGGCGAATTGGTGAAGAAATGATGGTGATTGCTGGCGAATTAGTGAAGAATTGATAATAGCTGCATGTGGATCGGCGAAGAAATGATGGTGGTTCCTGGCGTTTTGTAATGTTTGCTGCGTGCCATTTGATGGTTACAAACTTGTTGCAGTGAACATCGGAAACAGCAAACGTGTAAATATTCACACTATTGTGCCATTAATCGAGTAATTGTTCATTATTGTTTGGCAGATCGGGGGTCTGGAGGTAGACTTGGTGCAGCTGTACCGCGCTGTGGAGCAGCTGGGGGGCCTCATGACGGTGCTAGAAGAGCAGCTGTGGGGGCGCGTTGCCCAGATCTGCAGAATACCGAAAACTGCTCATGACAGGCTCACTAAGCTCGATTCCGTCTACTGCAAATACCTTCTGCCCTATGCGACGCTCAAACCAGGTCCGTGTTATTGAGATGGCTATTTCATTATCAATACCTTCTGCCTTATGCAACGCTCAAACCAGGTCCGTGTTATTGAGATGGCTATTTCATTATCAATACCTTGGGCCTTATGCGACGCTCAAACCAGGTCCGTGTTATCGAGATGGCTATTTCATTCTAAATGCCTTAGCCTTATGCGACGCCCGAGCTTATGGCAGAAATCACCCGAGCACGTGTTGTGAAAATGGCAGAAATCTGTTCTTATCCATTCGCGTGTCTTTTTGTAATGTGCCCTTGAAGTTCAGTGGAACGAGACGCCACGACAATTGCTTCGTTTAATAATAATAATAATGGTTATTTTATATTCAATATCTTTTCCTTATGCGCTTCTCGACGAGCACATTTTGTTGAGATGGATCTTTTTATAAAATGAATTCTGACGTATGCCAGATCCATATAAAATTGTATACCTAGTGATTTTTTAATACCTTCTGCCCTCTTATATACCCTTCTAGTTTTTTTTTTTTTGATCAAATAACTTTTAAACTATTTTTGAAGGTTTTTGAAGTTTGCATTGTTAAAATCGACATTGTCTTCTGAACAATTAATTGTTGTAATAATTGTCAATTTGGAAAGATGTCTGTTATTCACAAGCTTATAAATAAATAATCGGACTGTCTTAGCTAAAACTAACAGCGTTATTTGAAATAGATACAAGTAATAACATAATTGAAAAACGTGAGCAGCATTATACTCTTTTAAAGCGAATAATGTTATGTTATTAACAGAGTAAGATTTATTATAGGAAACGTTATTAATTATTATATAAATGAAGTAGGTATAAACTTTTGTCACGGACATGCTAAGGCAAGGCTAAATTTTTGCTGATATTTTCAAAATAATGTTCCAAGTGTATGAGCTTTCCTTACTGGTAATCACTTATTGAATGGTGTAAATATTCTTGCAGAAGAGCGGGAATCGTTGTTGAAGGAAGCTGATGAAGCGCATGCGCGACTCATCGGTGCTGTTGCTTCAGAAGCAAAATCAAGCAAAACTTCAAGCAAGAAATCAGAGTCCGACAGTCGGGGCAGCACCAAAGACTCGTCTGACGACGAATCAGAATCTGACTCTGAGGATGAATATGAAACTCTTGACTGTTTCACTACGGTTAGATATTTATAAAATTTCCATGTTATACGATTTCTTGAATTTTTCCTGTTTTATGGATGTTTCTAAATTTGACAATTTTGTCATTAAATGATACAATTATTATTTGAAGGAATTCTTTTGCCGTAAAGAAATTTGATGTCCCATTTTTTTATAATTATATTATTATTATTTAATTATCAGTGCAAAAGTATCTCTGATAGCTCTGAGCATCTCTCTCGCTAATGTCGATATTTGCACGTTTTCAATAATTGTCAAATCATCGCAGGGCAAAAGCATCTCTCTGAGCGCATTCTACCGCCTGGCCCGCAATACCACGGCCCAGTGGTTGCCTGATCCCAACGGTCTTGAAGTAGACGAGCGCTACTGGTCCATAGTGACGGAAGGAACGCGACACGTGTGTGTGCATGAGGCCAGTCTCGACACCAGCGAACACGGATATGGATTTACGAGCCCCAAGAACAGTCCTTCTGCTAAACATCCGTGGAACCTCAAAAATCTTTGTCAGAGCAGCAGCACTATTCTCAGGAGCATGGGCAACGTTATTGGTGAGCCTTACTCAAATGCTCGATACATTTTTGGTTCGTTACAAATATGCTTTATACGTTTCCATTTTGTGTACATTTCACGTCCATACCAAAAAAGCATTGTCTGAATTCAATAATGACCTTTTCAGCTATCGTGAATACTCAAATGATTCTTTTTAGTTCTTTATCAGAAATCAAATATAACTTGAATAAAATGTCATTTGCCAAAAACAATGTCCCTGTTTTGATGTAGCTTGCTATTAATGACAAGCTCATGCACGCGAGAGTATTCTTCTGCGATCTTTTGATACCTAGTACAAATTTTCTTCACATCCATCTTTTTGACAAAGTTTGCTGCGCTCAAATATTATCCTGAAATTGAATTATTTTTCAGGCGTGACTTCTCCCACCCTGCATGTCGGGATGCTGTTCAGCAGCGTGTGCTGGTACAGAGACCCTCACAGCCTCCCCTGGATTGAGTACTTGCATTCCGGTGCTTCAAAAATATGGTAAATTACAAGTATAAATTCGAGTTAATTATGGTATTGTCGTATTGTCGATCGTATTTCCCTTAACCTAGGCTGTACATTTGAATTTGGTGTTCCATTTAGATTTACTAACTAATTTCGACGGTATCCCCCTTGACCAAGGCTGCGACTTTGAATTTTTTGTTCCTTTTACATTTCCTTATAGTGTTCTAAATAACTGAACCTGCTTCTAGGAATGATTTAGTTTTAAAATGCGTTCACAGGTACGGAGTTGCGAGCAGTGCCGAGGAAAAGCTACGTGAAGCTATGTCGGAGCTGGTTCCTGAGTTTGTCAAAGACTCGCCTATCTGGCTGCCATCTGACACTACCATGGTGAGCTTCTGTTTGTGCTTGAAGGCGTAACAAGTCAGTTACCAGTCTTACTTTGATAGAAGTTACGTTTTAAAATTTTCTATCCCTGGATTAAATTTTAATCAAGACATATATATTTCTTTTGTTACTCAGCAAACGTGTTTTATTAACCGATTGAATTGAGGAAAATACCAAATAAACAAAAATTAAAATTAAGAACAGGCATCCATATAGAAACTTCCGCAAAAAGATACAGTGTGTATGATAAATAAATCTAGAATTTGTGTGCTACAATTATATTAGTATTGCTCTTCTTGGTGTCTTCAATTGAGTTGCATTCGTCCACTGAACAGTTAGCGAAATTATTTTAACATTTTCTCCACCTATTCTGGCAATGGAGAATTTAGAGCTACTCTTAATTATAAAAGGACGAGTCCGTTGGGTGCATATGCATGTTTGACAATGATTTTAACTTATTCCTCCTATGCTATTTTCTTGGAGTATTATGGTGACAATGAAATTTTAGGTAAAATGCATATGTATGCTTATGGAAAAATAAATCTTGTTTTGTTTGAAATGTGAAAGCATGCATCATTTTGCGTAGCGAAATTAATCTTGTGGTTCTTTCGCCAGGTTGATCCCACATCGCTATCAGAGTCCGGGGTGCCGGTGTGCAGAGTCGTGCAGGAACCTGGCCAGTTTGTCCTGGTTTTCCCAGGGGCTTTCACGGCCTCGCTCTGCACCGGTTACCTCATCGCCGAAAGCGCGTTCTTCGCTCGCCATCATTACTTTGAACGCGCCGAAAAAGTCAGTGCATTGAGACCCTCATTTATCGCTTTTCAAAATGGTTCAGTAAATTGGAGTTTGAGAATATGTTTTCTGTGTTAAACTCAATTTTGTATGTTTGAATTTGGTCCGTGACATACTTCAAGTGCGGGAAAGATTTCAACTGTTAATTTTGGGTATATCGCGCAGTGACCGAGTAAGTAACTTGATAATATTGCATTTTTTGTTAAACTTTGATGTATTTTGAAAAATTGCATTAATGTGGCAGGTAAATATTCTTTTTAAGTAACTCACGCTTGATCAAAAGCGATTGACTAATTTTGAACATGTAAACTCCTGTTCTTGATTTGGCGCTGCTTTCATACTGCCTACGAACAGCAAATATGTTATGATATCATGCAGTCTGACAGGCATAATGTTACAATGTCTATGCAGTCCGTCAGATATGATGTTATAACATACCGTAAAATGGGGTAACTTAGACCGGCGGGGTAACTTAGACCACTTTTCATTTTTTTTACAAAAACCCCCACAACTCAAAAACTATTTGACATAGAAAAATTTTGTCAATGGGCATTAAAGGCCTAATACTGAGGCTACATAACACAATAGAAAGATTTTAAAAGTTTGCATATCTAATAGGTTAAAAAATTAAGAATGTGACCCACGAAAAAAAAGCTATTATTTAAAGCCTGTCAGAGTACCCCCTCCAATTTTTTTATTTTTTGGTTAAATGACTCCAGGTTTTGATGCATTGTAGTAGAACTCTTCTAGTTACATATGCAAATGACAAATTTTAGGAAAGTGTCATAGTTTGCAAATGGGGGGCGCCGCCCCCAAATGGGGTAACTTAGACCACCTAATGTCAGCCCTGATGGGGTAACATAGACCGGCTTGGAAGTTAATATAAAATTACCATATATAACATATTTTATGTTTGACAGCCTATTTATGTTTTTTCTTTATGTTTCAGACTCTACAGAGTCTTATATATGGTAATTTTAACTTAATATCCAAGCCAGTCAATATTACCCCATCAGGACTGCCATTAGGTAGTCACATTTCCCTCATTATGGGGTGGCGCCCCCCATTTGCAAACTATGACACTTTCCTAAAATTTGTCATTTGCATATGTAACTAGAAGAGTTCTACTACAATGCACCAAAACCTGGAGTTATTTGGAGTTATTTTACCAAAAAAAATAATTGATTTTACCATCCAGTCTAAGTTACCCCAAGAGCTGGGGTAACAAAGACCATCACTTTTTTTGAAATTACATAAAGACTATGAGAGGCAGGAGCCAGCAATTTATGGTGAGTGAAGCTAGAGTATAGACCTGTATTTTGCATGTTTCAATTCAAGTTTAATTTAGCTAGTAAGAAAATGGCATCATTTAAAAGAAAAAAAGTGGTCTAAGTTACCCCATTTTACGGTATCATCTTAGCTGCTGTAAGTGCATTTGTACCTTTGCAATCCGGCAAGACATAATGTTATAGCGTCATACCATCTTACTTGGTGTAGGTACATTTGTACGTAGGCATATTATTATGGCGTCATTCCATTTACCTGGTGTAGGTACAGTTATACTCGTGCAGTACCGCAAGGATTAAAGTGTTTCATGAACTAATTTCTTATTACATAATTCCAGTGTTTCGCGCTGCTCGCCAAGTGTCGAGAACCGGCGATGTTTTCGCTGGAGCGCCTCGTGGTGTGTGTGGCTGGAGACGCGCGGGCCAGCGTCGAAACTCTGACAAAGGCTCGTCCGCTCCTGGCCAACATCGTGTCCAAGCACTCAAAGTTGTGGCAACAACTGCAGGAGTTGGGTCAGTGGCTTTATTATTGACAATTTCCTCTTTCAATTCTGTCAGTAGGATCCTACAATACAAATAAAGTGGTACCTGTGCTGAGTATCAACTTGTCATTGAAATGTAAATGTCCACACGAGCACATGAATTGGGAATATGCAACCTAAAATTACCCCCATGCAACTGTGAGAGTAAATAAGTATCAGTAATACAAAATTTCAAGCTGTACTTGCTATCACCGCTTTCGTGAGCGTCACGTAAGTGAACTTTAACTGTTAAGTATTAACTGTTAACACTGTTAACTGTTGACTGTTAACTGTTGACTGTACTGTTAATTTTTATTTACAAATAACTCTCACCTGAACTCGAAGGCGTCTTGAAGGTCACAAAAAAAAATTTCTGCAGGCATGACTCGCACTAAGCGCATGTCGACCGTGGAAGCTGCGCCGCCCTCAGGTGGTGGTCGAGTCACGCCGACCCATCCTCGTGGTGGGGGCGGCTGGCGTCGGTCTCGTCACCAGAAGCAGAAAGCTGCCAAAAACAACGAGGATAATGAGGAGAAGCTCTGCGCTTCCTGCATGCAGGAGCAATACATCGCTTATGTGAGTTCCTGTTGCTCGTGTATTCTCGTTCTCGTGTCTTGATTTTTTAGCACATTTTCTCATTTATCGAAAAAATGCACTATAGTGCTCGCCATGTCCGTCCGTCTGTCCGTCCGTGACTTCACACGTTTTCGTCGACGAGAAAATGCGCCCTTTGTCACTCACTGCAGTGAGTACTGAGTTATATTTTTTTGCAATTCCTTTTATGAAATCTTTGCACCTAGGGATTTCCAAAAAAACCTAAGGTTTCTCATTCAACCGGATTAAATATAAGTAGCAACGTTTCTGCGGAGTTTCTTGAATTTTATCTAATGGTAATCTTACCAGTATTTTGTAAAAGTACTCTCAACAGCAAAGGCAGCAACTTTATGGATTGCGATTTTTATTCAAATGTAATAAATGAGCAGCTCAGGGCCCATGCAAATTTTATATTCTGCTGATAATATTCTACCAATAAAGTTTAAGGGTGTGTTCTTTACTTTGGCCTTCGCGTTTCAGGCTCTGGATAGCAAGGACGGAGCGATGTACTGCCTTGAACACGCGCTCGAACTGGCAACGAACTGTCCATCAGCTGTTGAGCATTGTACTTTATTGTACCGCTACACTGTGGTGAGTTTGTACTTGTACGTCATACGATTTTTGCACTCTTTGACTGTTACGCCAATCGATGTTGACTACTGGCGGCTGTCACTGAATGTTGTTGCATAGTACTGATACTAAGTTCTCCCGTACCTGTCATACCTTGCCGATACTGGAACCTCGATACTGGAACCTTCAAACCTTGCCGATACTGGATCAAGTCTTTTTTTAGTTATTGTCATTTATGTCGACAAATCTATTGGATTCAGTTTTGATAGTACACATTCCTTCACAGTGTTTTATTGGTGAAGTGCAATTGAATTTGCAGGGTGAATTGAAGGCGCTGGAGAAGCAAATGGACGATAAGCTGCACCAGCATCAGCGTGGCGTGCGACGTCACGTTGCTGGCGCAGCAGCTGCTAAACATCTGAAACAGCAGCCGTCAATGGACACGGCTGTAGCCTCCGCCACTGATGTTATTTCTCCTGTTTCATCAGCAAGTGTTACTGTATCAGAAACACCTTCCAAACCTGTACCTACAGCGGTTACTAAACACCAGGCAAGCCCTATTAATGTTCAGTCACATCAACAGGTTCAAAAACCTTCGGCGTCAGTTCCCTTGTTGTCCCCTCAACAGGCTATAGTTCATACTCCACCACCTTCATTCGCAAGTCCCGTTGAAATGACCTCTGTCCAGCAGCAAAAATCAGCTGTTCAACGACCGCAACTGGGGTCTCAACAGAGCTTGCAAGTCTCACAGCAACCGCAACAAAAATCAGGTGTTCCAGTAACACCGCTGTCTCCTCAACAGCATTTCGCGAGACAACAACAACAGTTTGTTCAACAACAGCAATTGGCAACGCAGCGGCAGGTGGCTCAACAGCAACAACAGCAGGTGCCCCAACAGCAGCAAATTCCCTTACGACAACAGAGGCCTCAACAGCAGATGCCACTTCAACCAACGCCCCAACAACAAATGCCTCCACAGATGCCGATGTTACGGCGCCAGTGCCCGATCTCTCCTAATCAATCCAGACCACATGCTTCGCCACAACAGTTGTCTCAACAGCAATACATGCATCAACAGTATCAACCGCCTCCACTTACCCATTATCAACAGAAATCACAACAAGAACAACAATTGAGACAACAGATGGCTTCTGGGGGAGTTACCCTTCAACAACGACAACAGCAACTAACTCAAACACAGCAGCCAACAACTGCGCCATATCAGCAACAAATGCAGCAGTAGGTGATAATAATTTGACAGTAGCCCATTGAAATGACCTAGCTTTAATTAATTAACATTGAAGATTTGGGAAAACGCCAGCCCCTCTATGCTAAATGTAATGTTGATCATTTTTTTATAACAACGATGACGAAAGGTTGAAAAATAAATGAATTTGAAATTTATAAAACATGCCTGCATTTAAAACAGGATATTACTATTTTTGGTGGTCTTAATTTAGTCCTGATTTGTGATAAAAATTTCTAAACGTTTCTTCAAGAAATTTGAGACGAGCGTTGAATTCGTAATCGAACTGTACATGTTATTGGCTGTTACCAGTATTCATGCATTGCCTTTGTTAACTAAGTTAATTATGTATTTGGCCAATCTGATTCACTCCTGCAAGAGAGCACAAACTGTAGGGAAATAACAATATCTTCTATCTGGTTATCTGTATCCTCGAGAAGCCGTCTGCAGTTCCAAATAAATTTATTTGCATAATTAAGTTGAAATTGTGTACAGGTAATTGGACCCTAAAATGCAAATGTCAGAATATATTATCAACGAATGTGTTACTAGGTCATTTTTTACGCAAGGAGATTTTTGGCGATAGGCAAACCCAAGTAAATTACGCTTACTAAAACGAGTCAATATGCCTGTACATGACATGGAGAGTAATTGCTGATGATGTTCCTGAATTACTATATTGTTACCTGTCTGCGATTACAAACATTTGTGCCATTAAAATTACGATTACAAAATGTCGAATATTTTTATTTGCCGCTTCATCCTGATTCTACTAATCATGTTCGTGTTTTAATACTTTCAATGATAATTTTTTAATTATTAAATATTATTTGAAGTGGCATTTTATCATAATTTTCGTAGCTGAGATATTCTTGGGACTGAATCCTTTTTAATCCCTCATGATTTGTTTTTTAGTTCTTCTTGAGCGTCAACGATTAAAATATAATCTTTTTGAATTCGGACTGTAATTACTTAGTTTTAAAATTTTAGAAGTGTACAAAATTGGGGCATTAATTTATCCAATATTTCTTCATTGAAATGTTGAAAAGCGTGCACACGAGTGGTGGACGTGTGTACGGCTGGAAACTAGACGTGCTCTGCTGCAGCTATCGACTGTGGAGTCTACTTGTATTTGCCTTGTATTCTTTTATTTTTAATTTGTATACTGTGTACTGTATATTTATTTTCCACGTGCAATTATAATTGTTTATTTATTTCTCATCGTGTTACTGTTATCTCCTCTAGTGTTGGACTTCTGGTCGAAAAAAAACACAGCATTAATTTCACTGACTAGTAGAAACATCCTGAACACAGAAACCACAGTAATTTTTAATTTAATTAAATCTAGACCGATTCAATTGTGATATGATGGGTTGCAACTCTGACTGCGTTAACTAGCGTTCTTTGTTCTTAGCCAATATTTATTGTCACATGCATTCAATTGACAATTTCCCTTGTCCTCGATCAGATTGATAATAGTAATGAATGAGTTTATAGATTGAAGCCGGATGGTGATGGAATATTTTAGAAGATGCATTTAAATCTCATTTGTGATTTTACAACGTTCGATGCAAACCTACATTGCCATCATTGTGAGTGCGAATTCTTGGCAGGCGGTGAGTGACTGCACTAATTTTATGCGCCTTTATGAACGTTGACTAAGCAGTGGGCGACATAAAATTCAGATTAAAAATTGAAAAATCTCACACATACGTATGAATGACATCGGGTGAAAATTTATTTGTGTGTGTCTGTGAACATTACTTCTTGACCATTAGTCGGGTATATATATAAATAGTTTCATGTGTTATAAACGAGGTTTACCGAGGTTCATAAGGTCATTTACCGTTGAATATTTTCTCAAATCTTGTAATCACTTCTGGAGTCATTTAGAGGTATTTGAATAATTATATATCAAGATCAAATTATTGTTGTCTGCATAAAGTACATGTAACTTGAGCCAAAGTCGATGGTAACAAATTTGCTGCATTTATTATTTTGCTGTTTTCAATTGATGAAAAATGTTCATTAATTGTAATATGTGTAACTAACGAATTAAGGACGACGGAAAACATATCTGTAAATGGGCATTATGAATATGATGACGGGTTATTTTAGGGCAGATTCTACAAGTGAACTATATAGTAAGGCGAGTTCTATTTTCAAGTGGCTTAGCTTGGTCTATATAAAAAGTCTTTATTTAATGTTGACAGCCAATAATATCACGCTATTCTCCCCTCATTAATATAACATTCTTATACACACAATGGAGAGTATAGAGGCTAATGAGACGAGTCATTAGCGAAAACGTCATTCCTGTTCAAATGGATCTGACATTGATATTTTAGGCTTTCTCCCACTACATGTTTGTTAATCGCTCAGTTCATCTTCGTCGCTTCAACAAAGGCGATATGACGATTTGGAAATTCGAAATAAATATAAATCACTACTATTGCGTGTGTCTGTTCATTGCTGCGCAGATATCTTGTTTAGTTAACTGTGCCAAATTAGGGATTACTTGCTGAAGTCGATATTTACGATCTATTTAGTCTTAGAAGGCATACACGTAAAAACGGAACCTCTTCATCTTCTTTATTCGTTAACAGTTATATATTCGGGAATATATCTTTCTTTTCTACCTATCATATTTCCTAGTATACTCCGATTGTTTGAACTTCCATCACTTCCTATGCAAGTCGTGTAAAATTTTCATCTATGATAATTTACATCTTTTGTTCCATAAATAATATCATTTTTATTTTTACCCAAATCTAATGCATAACGCTGAGAAAACGTTCTGGGATAATCGAATTTTTAAGATGTGTTCTTAAGGTTATTTTTGTTTCTGTTAGTATTTTTATCATGAATTTGAGGACTTTTTAGGTTGTGGAGGTCCTTGACAACCTCCACATAATTCAACTATCGATGAGAGATGTAATGAGTATGGGTAAGCGTGATGAATAAATGATTACCGATTTTATCAAGATTACAATGACATCAATTTTTACCTGATGTCTCCGGCAACCTTGTTTTCTCCTGCTTGTCAACTTTTTCGTGTTATATAATTTGTTCGATCATTCATGATGTTTGGTCTTTGTAATTCAAGCCGTAATTCACAAGCCGTAATTGTAATTCAATTCACAAGTTCTAATTTGAGCTCCTCTCGATTACGGGCATTATTTGTTGAGAAATCCTTTTTTATTTGAGTGTTTTGAAATCCTGCAATACACGAGTTTCAGTGTTACTCATTCGACTCTTGTAATGCTGCTGATATTGCTGGCGATGTTTGCTGAGTAACTTCAATCAAATAGGATATCCACTCATCCTTATTAAGTAGGAATTTCCGCTTCATGTTTACCATCACCTTATTTAAAGTTAAATTTTAATATCTTAGCGAACTGTCGTTTTTTTTTAATTTTTAATCGTGAAAAACTGACACGCTACGTCAGTTTTAAGATTTGTGGAAGACCCGAGTCTTGAATGATATTGTAGATGATGGTGCTGTAGTTTAGGTGCGTAGGTAATCCTCTAACTTTATTTCTATTAAAACTTTGGCTTCTAATTAGCATAGGACTCGAAAGATCGGTATTTGCCAACCATCGCAACTAAAGCTTAAATTTTCCTCATCTATTCCTATTTAATCAGTTGATTTTTTTTCTCCGACATTCCGATTTTATAATGAAATTGTGTGACTTTTAGATGGCTCTTGAAGATACACAAATCGCACAAATTTTTTTCTAAAATTTTTGCCAAAATACGAGATGATATTTCTTGCCGCGTATGAACTTTCTCTCTTGAATGAATGGGTTTGCGCAGTACATTTTTGTGATGATAGTTGCTTAGCTCTAGGTTATAGTGATAGAGTTGAGTGTTATACGTGAATACTGATGCAATTACTGTACAATTCATGTTCCGGGGTTCCCCTCCATTTTTTCTTGCTTGTACCGTGTAGAAGTTATCCTAGTGGTGCCCTAAACTTTTCAGCTATGCCCCAAACACTAAAATAGAATTTGTCTCCCTTTTTTCAAGTGCTGTCGTTCTGTGTTCCGTTCCTTCATTCCGTGTTTCTTCCATGCCTGTACTGTAGTAGATTTCATCTATGCCTTCTTGGTAGATATGTAGTCAGTAATTACTCTTGCTAGACAGCGTAGAAAGATGTTTGTATTGTTCGTTGTATGTGAGTTTTTACAGAGTAGATGATTGATTTGAGACCGTGTACAGATTTTCAAATGCTTGTTCAAATCAATATAAAGTCGATCGTGCTATGCTATTCGCGTGGAGCATCAGGCGAAGAGTGCGTTTAAACGCTCTCTTTACTTAGGCTTCTTGTACAATGCCTTCTGTGAAATAAAACTAATTTATCCCAAAGTATTGTTACTTCTTAACCCTCGAACCTACCAGAGTATTTAAAGGATTCTTTTATTCTTCCCTAATTTTTTTATCAGGTGCAGAATGATGATGCGAATTTACGCTTTTCTAATGTTGGAAGTAATCAAATTTTCCGTGGTTTTACAATCCATTGATAGATTAAGTCCCACTTGAAAATTAACCTGGTGACTTAAGTAGTCAGAATCATGACTGGTTTTCCACTTGTTTTTCTTTCGTAAAAGCTCGTCATTTATTTGAAATATATGAGGTATGCAGTCAATACCAAATGCTCATATTTATTTTTACACACTGAAGTGTAGAAATAACCGACGAACTCAACTAGTACTCAGTCTGGCTGTAAAATATCGGGGAACTATTTTCGCCCCCTCTGCTCACAAACTATCTATTAATTATCTAACGAGGTGGGCCTTTGCTACAAGATAGTTAGTTAGTTTAGTGGCCACATGTTTACTAGCGCTTCAGCTATGCAGCTATCTCGCACCGAAAGTCATGTTGAACATCACCAAAGAGGTGGAAGGTCTCAATTATCAAAAGTTTCTCAAATCAAAAATAGGTCATCACCCACAAGGGGTGGAAGGTCTCAATTGTCCAGCCCGCTGAAGCTGGCTCGAAAGACGCAGCGTTAGCATCTCAAAGAGACGAAGTGACAATGAGGGACAGGTGAAAAGCAACAGAAACAATGACACTCGAAGAGGTCGCTTACACGGGACGTCGGCCGCCCGCACGAGAGAGACAGAGAAGGGAAATGTAAGGAATCCTACCTACATAATAACTTAACCCCACAACTGAGACCTGCAGTCAGACACCGCGAGCTCAGCGGTGGGGCGCTCAGGAACAATCCCCCTAGGAGCGCGAAATCCCATAGGACTTCTGACGAGCACAGACACCCGTCAGAAGTCCCCCCTGAGGGGGATTGCTACAAGATAAGCATTTTTACGAACGCGCCGACTCGTTCAAAAGCAAAACGCCAGTTGTTGGCCCACTCACAACTCCATCAATGTTTGACCGATCAGGACGAAATTTAAATCGCATTTATAAAATTCTGCTCGTTCGAGCGTCAAGCTAAAAATTGTTTGGCTTCATTTTCTATTAAAACGTACACAAGCACAATTTGCACAAGTGCCCAGCGCATCCATTCGTCATTTTTTATCAAAACCAAGTCAAATAATTTTCACAGAGATAGATGAATAATAATTCACTTCTGATAGAAACGAAGTCTTCAAGTGAGTTTGGTTCAGTTAGGTCATGTTAGTTTAGGTAAAGTTGTTCTGATGTAGCAACCAGCTTAGCCTAACCTGAACCTATCTTATCCTCGCATAAACTTATGAAAATTTCATTCTTATTTAAAATGTAGCTGCCATAAAATTAACAACCGCTTCGTAAATAAGGAAGATATGCGATGGGCAATTTAGATAAAACATGCGTTTTTTCTGCAGTGAAATGGAAAGCAGAGGACACAAAAATTCTAACTGCACTTGTGGCGGCAAATTCATATTGATGGGATACGTTTTTATTTCATCAAAATAGATTCAGAATTGAACGGGTAATAAGTGGGGGGAATAAAGTGATTTCTTGTTAATCCACTGTCAAGACTGCCGAAGAATTCGATGCTTCAGAAACGCCATATGAGCTGAAAGTAAAATTATCCTCCAAGCCGAACATAATCATTAACTGTTTTTTTAACCTCACTGTATTTTTCTGAATATTTTGGAAAATTGTATTCGATGCTTGCTCGAATTGAAAATTTCAACCGTTTATAAAAAAATTAGTGAATCCGAAAGTCTGGAACGACTAGGGTTGCCGTTGAATGAAGACTGAAGAGTCAAGAGTCAACTTCAGTGAAAACTGAAGCACGTGGAATGATCGGTCGGTAGCCGCCTTACTAGCCATTACTGTAGCAGTATTCTAGGTCAATTTTTATCAGTTAATATCGAAAAACTGTGTAAATCTTCTATCGAAGAGGCCTATTTTCAGGGGTAATAAAGAAAGGTAATTAGTTCAACTAATTCGGTAGGCAGTAGAATTGCGACTGGGTGTTTTTACTAATGTTATACTCGTCAACTCGTGTTATAGTGTCTTCTATGACATTTTTATTTTTGTTTCTGCGTGACTACCGTTAAACAACAAGCAAGAATGAACTCGCTGTACAAGTAACTATAATCAAGCTTAATTAGAATCATAGAATGGTGAGCAACAGAAAAAGAAAGTCTTTCGTCTACAATTCGAAGGAATGTTTAGTTCCGATATGATAATTTGGAGGATCCTATTCAATTACGCATATTCATTCCACAAAAGCTCAGTTATGCTTAGCTCCTCTACTCAAATACTTTAGTTTTCGTTTTATTCGTGTAAAATAATTTGTTTTAGCTTGGAGTTTAGTTAAATAATTTCGTGCATTGTAGCCCGTCCGTCCCCGTGAAAGAACGAAGGCGAGGAAATTCACTGGTCAACTTTTTTTTGAGGTGTGCCTGCGAGGTCAGCGACTCTGCGTGATCACTTGAACTATCGAAACCTAATCATGGGACTAATAAATTTGGACGTGGGAAGTAATGTATCGATCCTCAGATATTGAGCCACAGTAAAACGACGCATTAAATTAAGAAGTTAAGAACAAACAGTACAAATACTGACGAGTATTCAATACGGCACAGACAAGAAAATTATGTTATATACGTCCGTTTCTATAACGGTATTACTTTACCGTTTACATAGACGTATCGGTAGTTCAAAAGTCATTTTTGATCAAGGTGCATCGAGTGTGAAAATATGAAAGATATCAACATGTGAATTCGTTATTGAAAAGTTGTCTAGTAGATTGATCGGGATTGTGATTCTCGTCGTGGAATGATGAAGCAAGAGATTTGCTGCAATATTTGACTGTAGTTGCTTTTTGAGCGAAAATGAGATCCCTCTTGCCTTTGATCTTAATGTAAATGGTAATGGCGAAACCTGGTAATCGCAGAGTTGGATTTGTTTTTAGATATGTATGTCCTTGAAATTTCGTCGCCTCAAATTGGCGATCCGTTTCTTAATTCTGATGCTATGATTGCTATCGTCTTCGTTAATAATATTTTAAAAGCGTTTTATTTTCTCTTTCAGTGTTTCAAATATGTTACCTAATCAGAGGCGGCATCAAGGCTAACGGAATTTGTTTGCTTATACCGTAAGTAAAACTGATGCATTTCTATAACTTTCGTTATAATGAACGTAACTTTCTATAAATAGATTAGTGTATATAAGAATACCAGTTGCATTCGGTAACGAGAATTGAAAACTTTCATGGAAATGCTGTCAACTCCAAGTCCAACCGAGACCAAAATAGTAGTTGAAGGTCTAACCCGGAAAGTAGTCGTTTGATATTTAAATTTGATTCAGAGGATCTAGTTATTCTTTGTATGTAAGTCTCGATAAGGTCGCTTAAAATTTTTATTGAAATTTGTACCATCGTATTATATGCCCCCTTCATTCTACGTATTATTATTATTGCTTATAATTACTAATGTTTATACTTTGATATGTAATGCTTACATTTTGTCCCTCTTTTCTGCCGAGATTTCAAATTATGAGAGTTGCTCTAAATTTTTACTGAGGTGTGGAATATATTTTTCAACGTGTTTTCTATATATTCAATCCCGTTCCTGGCCATGACGTCCTTGGATTAGATCTCATTGAAAAAATAAAAAATAATAAAAAATAGGACCAGAGTCCAAGGCTATCGTGAGACTCCCTTTAGACGTGCAATTTTTTAGTCCAAAAGTCGATAAAGACGAGCATTTTTCGACGCTCTGTCAATATCCTCACGGAACAGCGTATCAAACCCTCTTTATTCAGCCGTTTTTTATGCTGGCGGTTTTCTGAAACATGGTCCAGTCGAGTCCATCGTCGCTGTAAACGCGTGGTCAGTTGTTATACTCTTTCTTTAGTATCAAACTATTATTCATTAAAGCATTCTCTTTTATTGTCTGTATTTTTCTCTTTTATTGTCTGTATTGTTAGTTGAATAAGATTTAACGAGTCAATCAGCATAATAGAGAAAATGACGATGGGTTGTATGTTCCTTATTCACTAATTAAAAACGTGTTTAGACCATTTAATCGCATTTACCGTATGACTATATTTTACTGCTAGAAGTTTGAGAAGTTTAATTTAACATTTATTCGCAGAAAATTACGAGACACAAGACGGTTGTGAATTTGAAAAGTGGTGGTATGGCATTTTTTTAAATTAAATTAAAAATGAAAAGCTTTATTTTATTGATAACAATTGTTAATTAATGTGCGGAATTAAATTCCTTTAATATTCTAGTAGAATACTAAGTGAAGGTTGTCGAAACTTGTTTCAAATAATTATTGCAGGTCAAATTGGAAGACACATGCTGATTCTGTGGTCAGTATGCTACACCGAGTTCATATCCCTCCTGAACTTATCTCAAGATGGCTCCTTTATAAGGTAAGAATTTGGATTTACTTTCTGCTAGTTTTATTCGTTTATTTACTCACTAATAGTTTCAAAATGATTAAGACAATAACGATATTATAAACCAACATTTTTGCCTAATTTTTCTCGTTTAAAATTTCCTGTAACGACTGTCATTTCCTCAAATTAGTGAAAAATCGGTAATTTCTTCGGTAAAGCTTAACTCTCTGAAATCCTAGATAAATCCAATCTGAAGGAAAGGTGTGATTTCCAATAGGCATTTTTGTTACAAAAAAGAAATGGGCGAAGATCTTCATGGTCCTTAGGATGATCATTAATTTAAGTAGCACCATTACACAACTGCTGCAGTCGTGATGTCTTCCTCAGTTCCACAAGCGGAACAAGTGGGTAGCTCGAGGATAAAAAAAACCTTCATTAAGATCCTCTGATCGAAATTCTCTCGGGCGTTAAAATTTACCGGAAGATGTCGTCGCTTAGTTCTAACGCAGAGTTTTCTGAGAAGATTTGTTACTAGAGATTCGTTATCTGTACACTTTTTGACTT